TGGAGGCCCATTGAGCTATCGTGAGTAATGGATGTTGATAGAACTATCCGAATTTGCAGCGATTAGGATCTCCTTTGGGGTTTTGTTTTGCTAAGTCACTTTGCTAAGTGACAGCTTTGAAGAGCTGTACAGTCCTTCTCCTAGGGTAAAATAGTACCCCCACACTGATGTTAGTGTAATAAATGTGGGTAGGAAGGCTGACATCATGTGACATGACATGGCTATATCCTGTAGGAATGGCAGCAAACCAGCCAGACCTCCTTCTTAACTTTGCAGCTGCAACCAAATTATTTTTATGTATTTGACTTCCTCTACTAAAGAACCCATTAACTACCTGGACTTTTAACTGACCCAACCTACACTCAGCATAGGCTAGAGAGGTATAACAGCCCCTCCAAGTCTACCCATTTAATTTTTTATTATGCTTTTATATGTTGGAAGCCACTCAAAGTGGCTGGGGTAACCCAGTAACATGTGTGGGGTATAAATAATAAAATTATCATTATGGAATGGGATGTCTCTATTTTCATCAGAGAAATATTGGAGGGTATGGTTTAATATGAGGTGAAGAACAAACCTGCAGATCAAGTCCCCCTCCCCCCAATAAATAAAATAAGTTTTTCTGTAAGGTTTTAGTAAGACAACAAGTTGAATAGAGAAAATTATTTTAGGAAAAACAACAGCTAGTTTTACTGTTCAGTAATTACCCATTAGAACAAATGAAAACAAGAAGAGATACATCCAGTTACATATATAACACTGTTCTATTTTTGTAGCCAAACCAATACTTATCCATTTACACCCCTCAGCTCAGCTTCTGGGTCCCTTTCTGGTTTTCTCCTGGCTCCTTTCTGCTGCAGTGCTTCAGCTTTTCAAGTATTAGAAAAAGAACAAACCCCTAGCTAAGTTTCTAATTCCCCTGAATGTCAGGTTCCTGGGTTGAATTTTTGACCCTCCTGTGCAGAACCTTCCAAGCCAAAATTGTCCTATCAATTTAAACGGCCATTTTGACCTTCCTGGGCAAGAGGGTGCTCTTGAAACCAAAAACAACAATTTTATTATCCAAGCTTTACAATCAAGAAAGCAAACAGAAACTGGCTGAAAATCCTGGTCCTTCACACTGGCACTGGCCAAATAATTTGTCTCTGTTTATCATCTAGAATGATACTATTGGTCCATCTAACACTCAATATTTTATTTATTATTTTACATTTATTCCCCCCTTTTTTCTTCCTTCATGGAAACAAATGGAGTTTCTAGGCAGTTTCCCATTCCAGGAAGTCTCCCATGTGGGCACCTACCAGACCCAGGCTTGCTTGGCTGCAGAAAAGTGATGGCCTTATATGGCTTCAGTGTCCCATCCTTGCCTGCAGATGCCAGGGGTTCAACCTGGGATCTCATGCAGGAAAAGCACATGTTCTGCTACTGAGATGGCCCTTCCAGTACCCAGCTAACAAAAATGGTCTACCAAACGCTTCCATGAAGCTTTCAGGCAGGCTGTTGGTGCAACAGCATCCCCTACTGTTAGCCTCCAGCACCTGATAATCAGTGTATTGCTGCTTCTGAACATGAAGGTTCCATTTGGCCATCATGATTGATAGAAGGGGCTTGAATGGGTGAAGCTGAAGTGTTTTGAAGAGTGGATGGGACTTATAACACACCTCCTCCCCCCTTCCTTAAGGCGCCAGGTGCCTCCGTTAAATACACAGTTCCTGACATCTTGTGGCATGACAGACACGAACTCTCTGTGGTCACACGCTCAGAATAAATCTAGGCCTTAAAAATAGAAGTTGGCAAGACTGTTTGCTTTTGAAAAGGCAGGTGTGGGATTTGACCTTGCCTTAGATGTAATGCAGTGCTTTCTGTGTGCTTCTGTAGTGTGCTTGCTCAGTGGGGTGGTATGTGCCTGGCATAAAGCCAGGAGATTAGACAACTTTCTTGTTATTCTTATACCACAGCACTGTAGAAGATGCAGCAACTGCAGCAAGGAACCAGGAAGAAAATAACATACAGCCCCAGAGTGCATGTGTCAGTCTACAAAATTACAAAACTCACATTTTAACCCTTTCACACAACACAGGGCTAAAAAATACAGAGCTTGTTTTCTTTTCAGAAAAAACAAAGGTGAGACAGCGAAGCAATTACAGTGGTACATCGGGTTACAGATGCTTCAGGTTATGCGATTTCGGATTAGGCACCGCCCCAAACCCGGAAGTACCGGAACGGGTTACTTCTGGGTTTTGGTGCTCGGGCATGCGCAGAAGCACTAAATTGCGCTTTGCGCATGTGCAGAAGCGCCGAATCGCGACTCACGCATGCGCAGACACGGTGCTGCGGGTTGCAAACGCTGTGGGTTGCAAATGTGCCTTCCACACAGATCATGTTCGCAACCCGAGGTTCCACTGTACAGGTTGTAGGCAGTTAGTTCTAACCAGAGTAGACCCACTGAAATGAATGAGCATGACCAGCTTGCATCTGCCACTTTCCATGGGTTTATTCTGAGTAGAATATGGATGGCTACAACTACACCCACCCACAAACCCTCATCTATTTATCTACCTATAGAATTTTTTTTTAAGAAAAAGTCATCACACTGACATTTGCATGGCTGCAGTAGGTGGCCATGGGAGCAGCATGACAGCAGTGGGTAGGCAGAACAAATGAGTGAAATAAGTAGGCCAGCAGCATGAGTGAGCAAGGCAGCAGAGCAAGTAGGCAGGTGGCCCAGGCAGCCTTCCCATGTTCCCTATCATTTGCTGTGGCGTCTCCAGCGGGAAGGTAAACGGCGTTTCCGTGCGCTGCTCTGGTTCGCTAGAAGCGACCTAGTCATGCTGGCCACATGACCCGGAAGCTGTACGCAGGCTCCCTCGGCCAATAAAGCGAGATGAGCACCGCAACCCCAGAGTTGGCCATGACTGGACCTAATGGTCAGGGGTCCCTTTACCCTTTACCTTTAAGTACATGGGCATAAGCCACCCTGTAGTGCACTGTGACAATAAGGCCAAGACTTCAGGTCACTAGGTGAAGAGGTTTAAACTTTTTCCACCCACTCCAGCCCTGTGTCTACTTTAATTCCCCTCTATTTTTGTTGTTACCACAATCAGTGGGGTCTTGACTGAGAGTAGGGTAAAGAAAAAATGAAGGAGGGGGGAATCCAGTCCCCTGGGTCTGGGTTAACAACCCCTGCTTTAGAGAGTTTTTAAAAAGGTAAAGGGACCCCTGACCATTAGGTCCAGTCGTGGCCGACTCTGGGGTTGAGGTGCTCATCTTGCTTTATTGGCCGAGGGAGCCGGCGTACAGCTTCCGGGTCATGTGGCCAGCATGACTAAGTCACTTCTGGTGAACCAGAGCAGCGCACGGAAACACCGTTTACCTTCCAGTCGGAGAGGTACCTGTTTATCTACTTGCACTTTGACATGCTTTCAAACTGTTAGGTTGGCAGGAGCAGAGACCGAGCAATGGGAGCTCACCCCCTTGCGGGGATTCGAACCGCTGACCTTCTGATCAGCAAGTCCTAGGCTCTGTGGTTTAACCCACAGCGCCACCCGCGTCCCTTTTAGAGAGTTACGGTCAAATCTTAACAAGAGAATGATGCCCTTAAATCTACCGGTATTCCATTATAACTCCCGAGTCTTTATTGGGCTAATGTGCTAAGACCACACCCTTGGCTCTAGTTAGAAAAGCAGAGTGTGATGGGGCCCAACAGTTAAAAGTTGCAGGAGCATGCTTGCCAAAAATCAAGCTCTGCTGACCTTCATTCTTCTCTTTCTCTGTGAAATTCATTTGACAAACACTGTCAGGCAAAGCAGATAAGGGGGAAGGGGAGGGTGTTTGCCCCATTTCCAGGAATTCCCCTCACCCCCGTGCTAAAAAAAGAGGCCTAAATCCTCTTTTCAGTTCAAAGTGTACTACTCACTTTTCAAAGAGCACAACCTGATCAAGAAAACCTGCCAGAAATATATTTTTAGGGTGAGCTGAAGGAGCCAAGAGTACAGGATTGCAAATGAATGGGAACCCCCATCCTCCTCCATGCGCGGGAATGTAGCATGGTGATTTCCCACTAATTGCCCAGGGCACGAGCAGCCAAAGGCTACAGAGCACAGCAAACATTGCGGCATTTATCAGAAGAGCCTGCCATCCATGCCCCGCTTTCAAGCATATAGAAGTATTATTTATCCCTTTGGTTTGTCATTACTTTGGCTCTATTACAGGAGTTAAAAGCTTGTTTTACACCAAACAAACTTTCTGCCTCTGAGCAAGTCGGCCGAAATACCTGCTGTATCACTGCAGGATCAATGGCCTAATGGCTGGAATTAAACTAGAGGGCAGGAAATGTGAATTAGCCCACTCCACTCTAATTCATAGTGTGAATGCAACTAATACAGGACCCTAAGAAAAACAATAATTTTCTTGTTTATACATTGAGCCAAGTAGGAGCTGCAACAAAATGTTAAAGTATGGAGTGTTCCAGTTAGGCATGCCTTCTTCCAGGACACTCCATTACATTTCCACCTACCTCCCGTTTTTGTCTCTCCCTAGAGACAATCAGCAACCAGTGTCTACTTAGCATGCTCATCTCTCCTTGTTTTTTTTTTGGGGGGGGAGGGAAGGAGTGGAAGTTTTCTCTTAGGTTTATTTAGATTATGCTGTATTTCTGCAAAATTTGGGATAATGACATTTAGAGATAACAAAATCTAATTTTATTCAAGCACTGTGTTGAAGGCTGATCCATTAAATGCCTGAGGGATGCATTAAAAAACCTGATCCATTAAAAGCTAGCGCATGTAGGTTATGAATCAAAATAATTTTTTTGTCAAACAGAGAAAGCCTTGGATCCTGTTTACTGACTGGAAAATAATGGGAGTTTTATCCTTTTTTTCTTTCTTTTTTCCTTAGAATGGTTTTGTTTTGATGACAATCCCCCCCCAGCTCTTATCAAAACTCAGGTACAGAGATATCTGTGGGATAGTGTAGTGATTAATAGACCATGTTCAAACAGTGATCACACACATCGTAGTCCTTTTTTATTGTTTTCATAAGAAAAACCTGTATCAAGTCTTAGTTATTATCACATCCAGATATAGCTACAGTGCAAATCCATACATAATTGTTAAGAAGTTCATAAAAATCACAGGCCTAGCTCACACATAACACTAAACATTTATTTTTTTGTTAAACCATGGCTGAGTGTTATGTAAAAATTCTGCCCAGGGGCTTAATTATAATTTGTTTACTGCTAACAAAGGCAAAATCTTAAACCACGGTTTGTTATTAGCTTATAAATCTTGGTTTGTTAAACTGTGGAGTGATCATATGTATGAACCCAGCACTTCCTAGAACCATGGGTTTGTTTTTTTCTAACCATCACCCTCAAATGTTTATCCCACTACAAAGGCACAAGGCAAGAGTAACTGGAAAACAGTTCAAACTCATGAAACAGCCATGGCTTGTTTAATCATCTGTGGGACAATTTATGGTTAAATAAACCATGGCTTAGTGTTATGGGTAAACCAGATCACAGTGTAATAATCCAGTGTTATCGCCATTTCTAGTTGTATAGGCTTCACTGAGTCACATTTTATTCCAGAAAGACTAGGGAAGAATACTGTTATAAATCAGACCCTTAAAATTTGCATGTAAACATCCCTGAGGAATTTAAGCATTTAAGACAAGTTCTTTCTTTCTTTCTTTCTTTCTTTCCATAACCTGTATATTACTTTACATAAACAGCACATTTAATCTTCTATACAGGAGCAGATGAATCAAGTTCTCTTTTTCTGAGCAATTATGTAATCAAATTTAAAGTGACAAGTTTCGAGAAAAAATGAAAAGCAGCACTAGGGACTGTCCTATTGCAACATCTCTCGTGGGGACTATAGATGAGAGTAGCAGCAAAGACACAAGATCCCTGGCTCCTATCAGGATTCAAATTAATCTTCTTCCTGTCAAGTGTACACCCACTGAAGGAAGAGAGAATTGATAGGACATCCAGAAAACAATGCATTTCAGAAGTGAAAATGAAGAGGCATGTAAATCAGGCTCTGAGTAGAATAAAAGAACTTGAATCCAGTGAAATACATCTCTCTAAGGGTGATTCCAGGCTGGGAGAACTTGGTAGCACACAATCATTGCTGTTCTGTTTTAAGCTGGAAGTGGAACAGCAACTCTGCTTCTAGACTTCTAACACTCTTTAGCTAACTGGTCGTCGTCCGTCCCCCCACCTTTCCCCAGACCCAAATGTTTGGAACACCATTGTGTAGAGGAATGGTAAATTAACTCCTTCACTGCACTCTGGATCATAGCCCCCTGCCCCACAGCTGCCATTTAGGGCAGGCATAGGCAACCTCGGCCCTCCAGATGTTTTGGGACTACAATTCCCATCATCCCTGACCAATGGTCCTGTTAGCTAGGGATCATGGGAGTTGTAGGCCCAAAAACATCTGGAGGGCCAAGGTTGCCTATGCCTGATTTAGGGGAATGGAAGAAAAAAAAGATATAAAGGCAATGGTATTTGGAAAGGGTAGGATTAAAGTGATTCCTTTTTCACAGAAGCAAGGGACAGGCAGGCAGGGATTGACAGGAATAGTAGCACAATATTCCTCTGTAAAAGAATCTCTCCAGAGAATCTCTCAAGATTGATAACCCACTTAGAATTGCAGAATTGTAGAGTTGGAAGGGACCATTAGGATGATCTAGTCCAACCCCCTGCGATGCAGGAATATTTTGCCCTCTTTACTGAGAAATGCTATACCTTGCATTTAAGGGAACAGTGCAATAATCTTTAGGATGTAAACTTTATACAGCAATAATATTTTCTGGGCTCCAATACCTGCAGTAGCAGCCTGCGGGTGGCAACAGTGAGGCTGCATTGCTCTCCTGGCTTCCCAACGGCATGGAAAAGGGGTTGAGGCACGGAGAGACTGGTGTGCGGCAGCTAAGCCAATCTGACACTCCTGCCACCATGTGCTGCGTCCCTCTTCCTCTTGGTAAGCGGCAGTGCCCCATGCTGTTGGGAAGCTGGGGAAGCAACACAGTACCACCCACACAGCCCACTACTGAATACAACATAGCATAAGTTCGATATGTTCATTTTGATCCAAAGTGATTTGTTCTATGCTTGCTTTTATATTTCACAACTGCTTGGAGTGCGGTACAATAGTTTTGCGACTTAAAATTTGTATGCTATGTTCCAAAACTGACAGCAAGATGGAATGTAGCGTTTTTGTGCAATTCTGATTCCTAGTAATGTTCACAGAAGCCTTCCTATTTTGTTTTTACAATTCATGGTTTGCATGTGGCTCTGTGGATTGGCTGATATCAGAATTTTGAATCAGTTGGAAGATAAATTGCACTTGCTTTTCATAACCTTCAATAGATATTCGTTCATTCAACCCGTGGAACCTGATTGGGGGGGAAAAGAGAGAAGCAGCTATGGGGTTAAGGCTATAATAGGTTAAATAATTGTGTAACAGGGATATTGTATTATGTTCCACAAAAGACTGAAACATGCTACAATCCCTTACAAGGGCTTTTCTAGCCACAAAGTTATATGTAATACGACTCCTATTTATACCAAGGATGCTTATTCCAAGATAGCAGATGGTCCATAAGTCAGCTGGACTTAGACTGGTAGCTTTTGAAAAAGAAACAAGAGAGTAGAAAGTTGGGATGCATACCAGCCCACTGACCAGGAGTCCTGGCCAGCTCCATTATAACAGAAGCCAAGGAGTGGGTGAGATATGTTTGGGTTTACTAAGGCATATAGATGAAACTGATTTGTCACTTCATTCCCTTTTACTGTGTACCAATGAAGTGTGGCTAAAATGAACTAACCACATATAAAACTTGTTGTGAGAGATTAGAAAAACAAGTATTTTATTACTTTATACCTGACTAGTCTTGAGCTTCTACATTATTAAGAGTCAATCGCAGCTCATTTCTGAATACTACCTATTAGGGGAGTTCTAAAGGAAATCCTAAAATGATTGGAATATTCATTCATTCATTCATTCATTCATAAATAAATAAATGGTTGCCTATTATATAGGAGCCCTATTTCCAACTACAGCCAGGAAGTGTTACATATCTGCAGCCCAAGCAATGTCATAACAGAAATGAGGTCCTAAAGAGATGCTTCAATTCCAATCTGCTTTTTATAAGGACAGGTACAAGATCTAGCCCTCCCTCTATTTCTTCGGACTAGTAGGGAAACACTATGGGCATTTTAGAAGTGTTGCTCTCTGTCAAGTTTCAGTTGCCATGTCTCATTCGTTTTGCTAGTTCTCATCTGGTGTTTTCACTAGGAAGAAATTGTCAAGTAGAATACTGTACCTTGGCAAATCTTCGGGTTTAAAAATCACTGGGTTAAATCGATAAATAGCATTTGTAAGGTTGACAAAGTGTCTGCTGTCAGTGTTACCAACACATATACCTGGAGGAGAAATCAGTATTTTGAAAAATTAAAACTGGTAGTGTTGAAGTTAATATTGCATTAGCATCACAGACTTCAGGAATTAGATTCCTAGCTTCCTTTGAGTGGCACTGGAAGCTATCTGCCTTACTTTTCCTTAGGAGGTTTTGAAAATTCCGCCTTTTATTTATTGGAGCAATGGAAGACAGCTATACATTTCAGAAAAACTGTGCCCATTGCCATGTTTAAATGTTAACTCTTTACATAAGCAGACATTTTGAAACAGACTGCAGAGCTAATTGGTAGCTTTGAATTGGATCAGAATGAAGTTATTAAGGGCAGTCCAACAACGGAGCTGCTCTAAAAGAAGAAAATATATAGCCTGGTTTCAGCCCCATGTAAACCTGAAAAACTTGAGGTACACTGATTGCCAGTTTCCTGTTGACTTTTTTTTTTTTTTTTTTTTAATGACCACCATCTTAGGTCAGAAAGAGAGGAAAACAAGCGTTTCCAGTCATTAATAGTGAGTGTGTGTACGCACGTACCTGGTGAAGGGGATAAAATAGAAAGAGAATACTCAGAAAATGAAAACAAAGTAGAGGTTGTTAGGTGGAAACAGAAGGGGAAAACAGTAATAATGCATTTGCCAGTACCTGGAGCTACACTGCCAACATCTGGGAAAACATCCTGGATGGTCTGGCGGAAAACCTGTACTCCAAAGGTCTGGTCGTCCCAGGGGCTCACTGGGAGTGGATCAAAGGCACTTTCCATTTCTATCTTTACTCTCTTGTCATCAATTGTTTTGTCTACTATGCCCAGGACCTAAGAACACACCCAAAGGAACAAAGGAGCTAAAGTAGCAAGGTGACTTCCATTATGGTATTAGCACAGATTGCAAACTCTTAAGTAACACTTTGCAAACCAACTAAAGATGCACAATCAGGACAGGAACCTTTTGGGACCTCATTGTGGAAGTCTGCTTTCCTGTTACACAATGGGATAGGTAGAGTTAAAAAGCATTCAGTTTGGGGTTACTGCCTCAAAAGACCTTCCTTTAGGCCCCTTCAACAAAGATACATCCCCAATGTACCAATCACTTTTGCTGTATTAAATAAATACAGAAAAAGATGACAAGCCAGTTCAGAAGTTTCTTGAATGGGAAACCATGTTTAACTGCAAAAAGGAACACAACCATAGACATACCAATTATTAAACTTTCTAAAGTCTCCTGGCCAAACATGAGGGCCAGGGAGGGTGGGGGGAGAGAAACAATAACCTGTTAATTTAACAAACTTTTCAGAATAAATAAAATACCTCATCAACTGTTTGTGACGAATGGATGCGGAAATTCACAGTTGCATTTGCAGAGGGGGGAATAACGTTTGACTGGAGAGAAGAGAAAGAGAGAGGGCTTAAACATGTGACAACAAACCACAGTCTAAAATATGAGCTTCAGAACCAAGGTAATTTCACCAGTAATTTCTGAAGCCAATGCACAGTCCTCAATATTAATTCAGCCTTGCAAAATTATATTTATGCGAAGGTAATTCTTGCCTAAAGTGTCACTGTTCATGTTCTTTGCTTAAGCCACTGAATGAAGGTCTGCTTTTCCTCCTTGACAACCTAGGGATGCATTAGACATGCATGCATTTGTTGCAGCACTGACCTATGATGTGTGGCAGTGAAAGGCTCACTTATTTTAGAAAAAGGTGGGCAGGCCCGAGCTTTACTCAGTTCATCCATGCATGGACCCAAGTGCCTGCTGAAATGAGTACATGTACAACTGGCATCTCCTCCGTCATACAAGAAAGGCTTGGGTCTACTTTCCAAATTTCAGAATGAAAGAAGAGAAAAGATGGGAGCTGCTCATATCTCAGTATTTGAAAGCATGACCAAGGAGTGTGTGCTAAACTGACTTTCCCCCTTATCCTCTCAAAGGGCTGTTGGAAGGTGCAGCTTTATCTTGAGGGAGGATCACATTACCAGGTGAGGAATGCATGGCAAATGAAAATGTACAATTTTTTTGAATGGTGAAATGACTATGCCTTCAATTATAAATGTAATGTAAAAAGTACATAGTGCTATCGCAATATTTTTAGAAGCAACAATCAAACTCGTTGCAAAAAGTGTATAATGACTAATCCAGTTTCATTATGACTTGTTGCTAAAAGTTATTTAAAACATGAAGCTTTAATTAATCAGTTTAACTATACAGATCTGTTCTTTGCTATACAGTACACTGTACTACTGCATTTACACAGGGCAGTTGGAACCACACGGCACAGCTATACTTGAGAACAGATCTGTCTCTTTAAATATGGGCCTGATCTAATCATGCATAAAATAGGGGAGATGTGGCTTTAAGGTGCATAAGGAAGTTACATGCAGGTGCACATTCCTCCTCAGTTCACCCCTCCACCACCCAAAGTTACTATTTTCCACCTTCCAGATTCCAATATCACAAGTGAGCCCACCTGAGAGTAAAGCAGTTGGGAACAAGGGATGTGGGTTCAGCCACCTCCTCATGCACCCCCTTTGTGATTTAACCCAAATACCTGCATGCCACACATGATTGAGGCAGACCTCCATTTAAAGACACAGCTTTGTCACCATCATGTGTCGTTTGGGAGACAGTTTTAAAGCAACATAAAAATGATAAAAGCAAAGCCTACTGTATCTCAGTCCACCTCTGGGTGTCACTCTTTAACTATCACACCAAGTAAAAGCCACTAACAAACCACTTTCACTGTTTTGGCAAGCTCAGGAGCTCTTCCTCTGTTACATTTTGGGGACCTCATGTGCAAGTTTTTTAAGGTTACACCTGTTAATGCTAAGTGTGGATGTTACAAATAACAGTTTCAATTACAGTACAGAAACATTGATAAAGAGAACACTGACTGGCTGGGTGATGTGCACCAAACAGCTAACCAGGTTTCTTGCTATGAAATGTATGGAATGGCTCTCTCACCAACTTGCCATAGGAGCTAAAATACTGTGATCATGAAGTTCTATTTTAGTAAAACTCCCCTCTTGCAGGGACTGACTGAAGCGAAAGCTTTCTGCTCTACTAGTTCTAGAAACTAAGCCATTGTGAGGACAAGCCACCATCAATAACAAATCCCATACTAAGAGGGCATGAATCGAATTGACATTCTTAGTTCATGGGACGATGCCAGCAGTGAATATTCAGCATGGGAGGAGAAACGGATTTGTATTCCTATAATTCACTGGTACTAGTAATATTGAAAGCTGAAAATGTAGTTCTGAGAAATTTAGACCTTCATTACACTTTATGGAAAATCCAATGAATTCGTACTACAGTACCTTGACTCCTGCATGAAACATAGTGATTGCAGTGGTAGTCCGAACTAAGGCATTGGTGGTAGGCGTCTGTTCAAGAAATCTGTGTAAAGATTTAGATGACACAAAGTTCTTAGAGATCAGAAGTAAATTAGTGTAGGATTCTGCATTCCATAAGTCAATACCAATATTTTAAATCAATAAATGCACATTTGTTTCTCATTTTTTGTGCATCTTCCCTTGAGGTTGCATTTAAGAGTATGGTTGCATTTTAACCACTGTCCATTCATTTCTTTGCAATTGCTTCATGAAGTGGGCACTTTACTAAATATTGTTTGTGCTTGTGATATGCACCTCCCCACACCCTCATGGACTTATTATTTTGCAAACTTTTTAAGAAAAATGCTTTTAAAAATCGTGTAGTGACAGCATGCTCTCCTGCGGTATCCCAGCATAGGAAAGCTCTTGTTGCTGTAATAAAAATGTGACGAAATATCATGTTTCTTCCTTACCTTCCAACAAGTGGTCCAAACAGCCACAAATTTGACATAATGATATTTAGAGGGAAGCTGAACTGAAAAGCAAAGGGGAGAAAAGCAGTACACATCAGCAAGTCTGGATTAAGAGAATGGTTTCTTCTGATTTAACATTTTTTTAAAAAACAACCATGTTGAAGTAGTCTTCTAAGTGCACTTTAGAACTTTCCTGTATGCAGGAGACAGGCCAATGGAAGAGCTGTGTGGGTAGGGGGCAGGAAGAGAACTGTGCACATAGAAGCAACACGTAGGAGAAGGGAAAAGTTTGTGAAGTTCTGGATCAAACCAATAACTCTACAAGGATAGGGTTGCAAGCACAGCCCGTCAGAGATCCAGGCAGTGGTGGAGCTTCATGCTCCAGCACCAGGGAGCGGAGAGCAGGCAGGGGCGGGGTTTGTGCACGTTCTGGGGGCGTGGCGCCCAGCGCGGGAGAGGAGGCAGCCATGAAGGCACCCCACTGGGATCGCGCTGCCGGGGGTGGTGCGCTCCCCCTGCACCCCTCTTCCTCCACCAGTGGATCTAGGATGCAGCTTGTGGCATTGACCTTGGACAAGTTACACAAAAAGCAACTGCAATGAAGCTTTCCAATGCAATACAACTTTCCTATTGAACAACCTTTCCACCAAGTAGCTGATATTAGCTTGCTCCAAGTAACAAAGCATGATTCAGCAGTATGGGAATGACTCCCATGCTAACTCTACACCCCCATGCTTCAGTGAGTTTCCAGTTGGATCAAAGTATACTTTGCTGTTTAATTCAAACTGCCATACTATAGCTTGTGCTTGCCTTCCAAACAACAGTTTAAAGTTGCCCTGGTTTGAAGAAAAGTACGGTCAAACCTTGGTTTTTGAATGTCTCGGCTGCTGAAAGTTTTCAGAAGCCAAATACCAAAAACCTGGAAGGGAATGCTTCTGTTTTCGAACGCGCTTCAGAAGTCGGATGGCTTCCAAGGCATGTTTCTCAATTTTCCCCATTGAACTTGCTGACAACCCTTTGATCCTTGGTTTTTGAACGTTTTGGAAGTTGAACAGACTTCTGGAATGGTTTACATTCCAAAACGGAGGTTCCCCCACAATAGTTTGATTGCTCAGATAATGACAAACTGTGGTTTGATCAAAGTAGGAAGAAACTGAAGAAAGGGTTTGAGATTGTGGGAGTACATGAGAACTATAACTGTAAACGAGGCTTTGATGTTATGTGGGAACTGAGCCGCTGTGGCAGAATGAAACCTGTTGGGGGGGGGGCGAGGAATGGAAAGTTGCTATGAACTCTATCAATTGGGAATGACTCTGAAAATTCTAAAACTCTGACTAGCAACAAGTTTAGAAAATCATAAGAAATCTAATGTTAACACTGAAAATTTAAGGTCACTTCACTGAAATCACATGAAAGAGTGCATATTGTTGAATACTTACATCTGGTGCCAGTTGCTCAAACATCAGGATTTCAGGCCCATGACCAAACAGATTGGGCATGGGATGCTGCTCCAACCTATAACAACAAACAGCTATCTGACTGTAACAATCAAATGCAAGACGGAAAATAAACAGGCTCCACTCCTATTACTTTGATTCATGAATTTAGGCAGAAGTCTGCAATGTCTTAGTCATCTTAAAATTGCTACTTTAGTTTCTGCTACAGATAAGTATCATGATGATGTTAGATTTCAAAACAGAAGCTGAGTCAGTGATAATTTGAAAGCTAGAGGAAATTCTCGGGAAGATATGCTATAAATCTGATTTATTTCGTGTTTAAACTGGGAAGAGATCATGTCACAATCTGAATGGAGGACGGTAAAAGACCACTGCAGTGTGCTTTCAACATTATGTGAGGCACTGTTTTCTTACTGTCCATTTCCCATGCAAAACCAACATTTATCCATATACCGAGGAACAGGAACAGTCTTCAGCAAACAGAATGTATGGCAAGATGCTGGAAGGTCCCCATGGCTGGATCTAAATGTGCAACAGTTCCAGGCTCATCACAAATGCTGGTGGTAGGTTTTCTAAAAATCAAACTAAGCCCTCCCTCAATAAAGGCACACATAAACCCCTTCCCCACTATATCATCAGTATGTATTATAAAACCATACATACACATTCTACTGCAACAGGTTTCTAAATATGCTTTTAAAAAGCATTTGCATTGCCTTCTAAAAGTCTGTAGGCACCGGCAGTTTTTGTTTGGGAGGGAGCTCCATAACTCTTGGGCTGCGGCAAAAGCAGCCCCATTTAGCATTCTGGTAGATTTCAACAAACAGGTTTGTCTCCTCAGATGATTTGCACACTTAAATAAGGAGAACATGTGACTTAAATATCCATGTTGTTGTTGTTTAGTCGTTTAGTCGTGTCCAACTCTTCGTGACTCCATGGACCAGAGCACACTAGGCACTCCTGTCTTCCACTGCCTCCCGCAGTTTCGTCAAACTCATGTTCGTAGCTTCGAGAACATTGTCCAACCATCTCATCCTCTGTCGTCCCCTTCTCCTTGTGCCCTCCATCTTTCCCAACAACAGGGTCTTTTCCAGGGAGTCTTCTCTTCTCATGAGGTGGCCAAAGTATTGGAGCCTCAGCTTCAGGATCTGTCCTTCCAGTGAGCACTCAGTCCAACATAGTGTTCTATAACCATTAGCGTCCCTTATTTCTGAAATATTGAACTGGCAACTGAAGGTACTACAGAGCAAAATAATTTATGTAACATCTCTAGGCTACAATCAGAATGGAGCTTATTTTTAACTAGACAGGTATAGGATTTCACTATTACCAGGAAAGGAAAATACTCACTTGGCTAATGCTTCAGAAAGAATGCCAATACTTGTCCTCTTAGGTGGTGCAGAAGAATGACCAGGCTCTGATGTCACAGTGAAATTTGCTGTAATTTCACCCTTTTCTGTGATACCTATTCTGATAAGTTGGGGGGAAATAAATTATTTAGATTCAGGATGTAAGAATTCCCCCGTCTATCTTCTAGTTAGACAACCATTTTGACATCCCTGCTATGCCATGCAGCACAGTAGGACCCCTTGTCAATGTCCCTTTGGCTCCCTCAGCTCTGGAAAACCCCACACCTACCCAAGATCAATTTTCTCCATCGCTCAGCTACCATTCCTCTTTCAGCAGTAGTGCCCAGGAAGAGGAAGTGGTAACAATCCTAAACTGGGACCTGTTTACTAGCACTTAGTACTCTATAGCTGGGGGGCTATTCCAATGAGACATTACACAGGTTAGTTATACTGACCCTAAAAGAAGATGAGGCGTAGTATACTTTTGTAATAATCAACAGCAGGGCTGTCTTTAGCATATGCACTGCCGGGGTGCAAAGATTCACCCAGTGCCCCCAAATTTAGTTTAGAATTCATAGTGCGCTCTAGGCTCATTTTTGCAGAAATGGAAAACTAAAATCACGTGCTGAAACACATGTGTAGTAGAGCCCTAAGTAGTTAGTCAAAGAAAATGCTGACAATTAGCAAAAATAAACATTTTTAAAAACAATTTCTCTATACGAATTTGAACTGTAAGTGATGAAATTAAATTCAATTTGCAATGTTTCACTCAGAGTCAGCAGCACCTTTGACATGACTGGCAGGCAGGTGGCATGAGATCAATCGTGTCAAAGGTGCCACTGACCCCGCTGCCGCATAGCAGCTCAATACAATACGTAACATAATATTTTTATGTAAGAGTTAATTTCGCATGCACGGTGCCATTGAGAATGACAAGTGCTGTCATTGAGTTTGACAAGCGCCGCGGTTGTGAATGACAAGCGCCATTGAATCTGACAAGTGCCACTGCTGGCGCAGCGCATCTTTGGTAAATAAGCGCACATAGTCGAAAGTCCTTTAGTGAAATAGTAGGTATACATTTCGGTAATATCTAGGTATATATTATATGTATTTTGTTTTTCTAGCTTGATCAAAATTATTTATTATTTCATAGCAGGTAGATAATTAAAGCTTAGGCAGCTTCAGCGGTGGGCACCTGGTGCCCCCCAGAATTCAGCGCCCAGGTGCCCCACACCTCTTGCACCCCCAGGTAAAGATGGCCCTGCTCAACAGCATGGATAGGCAAAACTTAGGTGAAGATTTACTTAGATTGTTGATTCCACACACTCCAAGTAGATCAGGAACAATGTTTGACTCCCAATTGTTTAACAAGAGCAGCAACTGCATTTATTGTGGAAAGTTCTCATCATTTCTTACTTACGAAGCTACTGGTTTCTCTATTCCAGTGACAACACCATCAAAGATGAAGCTTCCTTCATCAAGCACGAAAGAAAGTTGAATTCCTCTAGATTCCAATTCAGCCACAATCTTCATGGCTCCTTTTCCACCCCCCACCTGAAAAGCCCACAACAAAGTCATCTCACCAAATGTCATCTCATTCTGTCTCAGGCAGCAATAAGCATCCAGTGCTTCAGTGGAAAAAGACAACTGCTATACAGGTTTTAAATATATACACACACACTTCTACTGGAGAGAGCAATTGATGTGTGGTGCTCCAAACCATTTAACCTTGCACCTAATGAACTAATTTCATTCCAATATATTACTTGCTGAATCTTGCTATAGGTCTGCACTCAAGAGGTAAATTGTGGCACATAATTCCTCAAGTGTAGCAGCCATTAGGCTAACACAAGGTTAGGGAACCTCCAGCTTCCAGGCCAATCATGGCCCACCAGGGTTGTTTCACCAAACCATGTCTACCCAGCCATTAGCTGACATTACTGGTGATGTCAGCTGATGGGCGGAAGGCCAGGGTTTAATCCTGTATTGCCTGTGCAATCTTTTATCCAGCAGGGGAAATATTCTCTGTTAAAGATGGGACTGAGTTCAGCACAGGACTGGGCATTTAAAAGAGAAGGAGAACTTGCAAGTCTTTTGCAAGTCTTCCCAGTCTCAAGCAAAGGCAGAGAACTGGAGTAATCCCCTCCTTTGCTTGCAAAACCCACCTCTTTTCCTGCCTTCTCTGACAAGTGACAGGAAGGGAGGGGAGAGGTATGTCTTGCAGGCAAAAGCATCTTAAAGCACTTGGCAAAAGCACCCTCCAGGCTGCTTCCAAGGGCACTGTGCAAGTCTTCCCGTGTTTATCTTTTAAACCCTTGACACTAGGTTTAAATGGGAAGCAAGGGAGACTTACAAAGCCGCAGGAGGGATTTTGACAGGCAAGTGGCCTTGCTCACCTGCCAATATGTGATGTCGTGCTATTGGACAGGTCAGCAACCCCACCCACCTGCCACATTTGGCATATGAAGCCAATCCTGATGAGGAATTGGCACCCAGAGTCAAAAAAGTTCCCCAGCCCGGGCTAGAACATACTCAATTTTATGCAATGCAAGTAGTACAAGTAACATAATCCAACAAACTCTAATAACAAATCCATATTTGTTTATGGATAGCTTCTATAATAGCTTCTATTATTACATCAAATTGTAAACGCAGTGAAGACAAGCTCCTAACCCTCAAAACTTTTTTTAAAAAAATTGGGGGCAGTGTAGGGCTGGATACAGAATTGTAATGCTAAACAACACAAAAAATACACATTCTTCCGCCTATGCAAAGCAAAATCCATATTCCTATGCTGTCGACAGTTGACTAGTCAATAGGCACCTACCACTGCAGTGCATGGAAAACCTTTTATCAGGACAGCACAACACCGTTAAGGAGTCTCCATGTAAAAAGAGCAGCAGGCTGACCCACTCAAGTTCAGTATCTACTGTTTCAGCCTCTGGAATGAGTTATAAATCTAAAATAAATAAATACGGGGGAAATTAAAGACACATAGAATACCTCTTCATCATGCCCAAGGCCAATATAGAAAGACCTGTGAGGTCTGTAATTTCGTCTCAGTAAGAATTCTAGAGCATGCAGAATCCCCTGAGGAATAAAAAATAAAATGTTAAACACTGTCTATTTCGCATCTTGGTTATAGAACCTGTTCCATATTAACAGCAACTGTTGTGGGGAAGCATGAAGGACTGGTTTTGCCCCAGATTAGAGGGTGGGATTTGAGAATCCAATGGCATTGTACTAACCTTTGATTGAACCAAAACACCATTTAATTGTATGAAACTTAACTTTGTCAGTTGACTGGGAGGGGATTATAGATCAAGGTGGGAAAGTCCAAATCACAGAGCTAAAAAAATAAATAACGCTTTCAAAAAATTGTATGCAGAAGCTTTGGAGCATCTATTTAGCCTGTTCTTTGGAAGAAAATGGAGGAAACTGTCTTGGGGAAAGGCCTGTGCCTTGGAAAGTGGTTTACTAGATGAAAGTAGTGCACACTGAACTTTCTGTATGAGCTCTGGTAGTCAGTTCTTGCTTTGCTTGCTGACTTTCAGGCTGCAGCACTTTATCCAGCTGGCTGCTCCCTCTGGAACCAGTTGCCAGGTTCCTATCATCTTCTTGATTTCCAATTGTCAGGGGCAGCAGCCCACTGGCCTTCTGTACCTCCTTCCTTCTCTCCCTACTTTCAGGACAACCTTTGGCCCAATGGTGTCCACAGAAATAGTATACTAAGTCATCAATTTAAAGCAAAGCAAAATATACTCATATGGCTAAAAGGTTCTTTTTAAAGTGCACTGATTTATGTTTAGCTTGCAAAATAATAATAACAATAATAATAATAATAATAATAATAATAATAGGAATAATGGGAATGCTTCTCCTCACACTGTGAACAGATAATAATAATAATTTATTATTTATACCCTGCCCATCTGGCTGAGTCTCCCCAGCCACTCTGGGCGGCTCCCAATCAAATGTTAAAAACAGTACAGCATTAAACCAGTGAACCATCATTAATGTGGCATGCTAAACTTTGTGGGACAAACACTTTGCACCCCACCCACCCTGCAAAGGGAGGTACATTTACAAAATACATATACCATAACAGAGTTTTTGTTATCAAGTGTTCCTCTTCCATATATAAACCCATCACGTTCCTCAGCAGAGAAAGGGTCACTGACGTCCCACCCGTCTGGAGAAGCTGGAACAACATCTATATGTGCAAGCAGCATGTAGGGCTGCAGCTGAGCGTTAGACCCCTGGATGGTGAATAGGTGGCTATATTCCCCAATAACTTCATGTTTAATGAATGCTGCAGAAAACACTGCAGGAAAGGCTTCAGGGAAGAAAAACAGAAGGGAAAGAAAATTAGCAAGGGTTCCTCCAAAGTTTGAGGTTAAGGATTGGACAAATCAATGGGGACATATTAACCTTTGGTATTCAGTGCAACAGTTGGTATATTATAATGGCTGATATATTTCAGAAAATGGGTAACTGAAGGATGAGGAAAGGCATAGCACACATCTCTTGCTGGTCCCACCACCCTATGGGGTGGAGGAACAGAGTTTAAAGCAAACAAAAGGATAAAGTAAATTATAACAACAACAACACTGTATTCAAATTGTTAAATAAAGAAACAAACAACAGAAACAATGAAAGCCACTCTTCATATAATTTCAATCTTTTCTGAGAACCCAGTAATTTTACCTGTTTGACTGGTATTGACCATAAAACGTATAAGGCCAAAATCATACTACATTAATCTACTCTTGCATAACAACTGTAGCTCCTGCATTTATTACCACACTAAGAGTATATGTCAAGTGCTCAAAGGTCTTCACATGGGGACAGAGGTCTTTCCCAGGCCTACACAGAGATACTAGGGTTTGTACTGGCATGTTCCGTAAGCAAAGCACACTCTGCCATTTAGATGCAATCCTTTTGTGTAATTTATCACAAAGATATAAATACTTTTTTAAAAAAAGAAGGATTTATTTACAATTGTAAATAGTTCCACAGTTGCTTCGGTTCATTAATTTGCATTCTACTCAATAATAAATCACATTTTTGTCAGCTTAGTACTTTAGTTTTGTCGATAAAGGCTCTTCTTTTACGACACAAAGATTAGATACTCTATTAAGTTAATGCCCATTTGCTAGTTAAAAGAAGGAATTTAAGTTCAAATACCTTTACGAATATATGGCTCAAATTCTGCCAGGGCTGTTGTATTTTGATCATTTGCTGAGAAGGAAACTGTTTGCATTCTGATGGCACCTTACATAAAACATAAAAGAAGAGATTTCGTGACTTTCTCAGACAGGCAATTATTAAAACAACAGTGCAATGCGATAAACTCTCCTTCCCTGCAAAATAATGTAAAGGCTGTCAAGATGCCTATTCAAAGGATTAGAAGTGCCACTACCAGTCGGCTGACAGAGCCTGCAAATGTCATTCCCAGTTACAATATTTCTGAGAATATTGTGAATGGCAACTGGGTCTGGAGTCTGCTGCATTGCTGAATGAGTGCATTGCACACATTTAGATGTGCAAATGGTGCCCCTGATCAAGTGGCTGAGTGAGATCCCCAGACTCCATTAAGCAAGAAGATGTCTGTACATCTTGTATCACATTTCATTTTCATATAGACAGTAATACGAATGAATGAAGTGGAGTCTGCACCCTATCCCCACCCCCAATGCACATGATTTCATTGGCAGGGTCCTGGATCATATGTACCTATATATGATATCTACATGAAACCACTGAGTGGGGTTATCCAGAGTTTTGGAGTATGTTGTCACCTGTATGCCAATGACACAGTTTTACTTCTCATTTACATCTGCAGGTGAGGCAGTGGACATGCTGGACTGATGTCTTGCCTTGGCAATGGACTGAACAAGAGCCAACAAACTGAAGCTCAATCCAGATAAACTAAGGCACAGTTAGTGAGTGGTTACTTAGACCAGATGGATGGGAGGCTGCTTGTCCTTAATGGGGTCACACTTCCTCTGAAGGAGTGGGTATGCAGCTTGCGGGTACTTCTGGATCCTTTGCTGTTGCTTGAGACTCAGGTGGCCTCAGTGGCACAGAGTATCGTCCATCAGTTTTGGCTGATGGCCCAGCTGCACCCCTATCTGGACAGGGATACCCTAACTTATGTTGTCTATGCTCTGGTATCCTCTAGGTTCGATTACTGCAATGTGTTATAAATGGGGCTGCCTCTGAAGAAGGTTCAGAAACTTCAGCTGGTGCAGAATTTAGCAGCCAGGTTGCTCACTGGGGCAAGATGGTTTGAGCATATAATGCCAACTAATAGGCTACCTATAAAGCCCTAAACAGCTCAGAACTGCAATATCCCAAGGACCCCATGTGAACTGACTCATATGCAAGGTTTCCCCAGTGTGTAAATAAATTTGAAAGCCTTGCTTACTGGGAAAGGCAAGCTGAGTGTGCTGGCTCAAGAAGGCTGGAGATGTCTGTGGGTGGTTCCAAGGGATTGAGTAAACACGTTTTTGTGTATACGCAGAACTCTTGGAACCGAACCCCTGCATTAGATGCAATCGTACTGTAATTGGTTTTAATGTTTATATCTTGTTGTAAGTTGCTTTGGCTCACCTCTGTGAATAAAGTGACTGATAAATAATAACAACAACAATAAAGATACATTATATATTAACTGATTGATGCGAACAAAATTAATATGTTTTTGGTAGACATTCAAAGAGCAAATAAACGGAGAACAGCGCTGTATGACAGGCAGCCAGAAAAGTAGAAGCACCAAATTTCAGTGAGCAACAAAGAAAAAGGCTAAAGGCTAAAGTCACAAAATGCAGACAGGCTATAATTTTGCTCTCCAGAATTACCATCGGTGACTCTATGAAGAAGCCTGAGACAGAAACATTTACTTTGAAGAAATGAATACCTTTTCCACCTGATTTCATCATTGCATTTGTGACTTCAGAAACTAACTTGTTTTCCCACAATTACATGGTATAAATTCTACATCAACAGCTCAACAAATCAACATTCTTCAAAGGTACTTAAATACAGGAAGATCAGGAACTATAAAATGCCATCTTATTATTTATTGTGTGTTTAAAATTCCACTGACTACTACACAATAAATAAAATAGACAGAGAGCTGCCAGAAAGGTTTATAATCTAGTAGACATACTGACGCTGCACAAATTGAAGTCAGTTTGATGAAGAGAGAGAAAAGGCGGGACCTTTAATGCTTAAACAGCTGGGGGACAAGAGTACCCAAAGAAATGATTTTTCTTATATGAAAATGCCCACATGAACTTGCCCAAATCTGCATTGGAGTCCAAGCTCCAGGTGCCTTCACATTCAGAAGCTAGTTAGATGGTGACTTGGAAAATGACTTTTCAGTGGCTGTGTCATGTGTGTAAGACATCCTTGTCATACAGATCCATGAGGCACCAACATCATCACCATCATTTAGATAGCACATTTGCAACTAAAAAAGCTCCAATGTTTTTAATATGCAATCTGTAGTTCTGACTTTTTGTCTGATTTTGATCTGATCTGTATTTCATTCTGCTTCTACCAACTGTGGTTGATTATTTAAATTGTACATATTTATTCTTTTAGCTAGTTGGATTTTTAGTACGTGACTCTGGATTTGCAAAATTCTTAAATAGCATATGAATATTCAAAATAAATAAAACCTCCAGAGTTCTGGTATATTCATAGCATAATGACCAGATTGAACTTATTGACATTGGCAGTAGATAATAAATGTACCTTGACTAAAAAGATAAGCTTATCATTAAGAACAAGATAACTAGAAATATCAAGGGTTGGCTAAACAGAAAAGACACACGTCCTCACTATCAGGCTCCTCCCACATGGCTATTTCCCATACAGAAACCATATGTATACTGCAAACAAGCCTCCTAAGTTGTTTTCTTGTAACCGTAAGATACAAGCATGGGTAGACTGAAGGATAACATATTGTTTACACAATCCAATGCCATTGCAACAAACTATATGTAGATAAAATCAAACCTTTAAAAGAAACATATTGGGAAACAAAATAAATGCAAAACCACCCTGTCTTCAAGCAGCTCACTTCTCAGGCATGAACCACAAATCTGTTGATTTTATGTTATACACACTAGAAATACTCAATATGCCCAATGATCATGTACTGCTGTGCAAGAAAGCACAAAGGATAGTCCAACTAAGGATTCGTCCACAGTTCTGTGCCTAGAAAGCACAAGTCTGAGAAGTTTTCTGCTTGTCCAGTGTTTTCTACACACAAGTCCAAGCGGTTTTTAGTTTTCCCTATTTTCCCTGGGGAAACCTGCTGCTTAGCACTGGATTGGAACAAATGTCAATTTGCAGAAAAACCGATTGATGTTTGTTCCAATCCAGCAGTAAACAGTGAATTTTCCTGGGGGAAAGGCCTTAAGTAGCATCCCACAACTGGGTATAACGGAATGCATTATTGCAGAAAGTGATGGATGCACAATTTTTACAGTGCACTGCACTGCACTGGGTTGTAGCTCATGATAATCCTACCCAGAGCAGTCTCACTGAAATTAAAAAACCTAAATTAGCCATGTCTATTAATTTCAATGGGTCTACTTTATACAACCCTATGATCTAATGGTGTATTTGGGGGGAATCCGTAAGAAATATGAGCATCCAGGTTTTTGCACTGTGGTGGTGCTAAAAACCACTGAGTCTGTGAATCCTATTGTTCACTCTGCAGAGGAGAATGCAAGCTGTGATTCCATAGTTTTGTGTGTAATACAGTGGTACCTCGGGTTACTTTGCTTCGTTCCGGAGGTCTGTTCTTAACCTGAAGCACCACTTTAGCTAATGGGGCCTCCTGCGGCTACTGCGCTGCCGGAGCACGATTTCTGTTCTCATCCTGAAGCAAAGTTCTTAACCCGAGGTAATATTTCTGGGTTAGTGGAGTCTGCAACCTGAAGCGTATGTAACCTGAGGTAGCACTGTATAAAGAACAGTAAATATTCAGCTACTATAATGTTAATATGGGGGCTGTTCCAGTACAGCAAATTGACGGCTGGCTGAAAAATCATGACCATGACCAAATCTTTTGATTCCCACATTAACTCGGAAACTATGGCAAGTCCATGCTCTGCCTTTTCACAAGTGCTTTGCTTTCTCAAGCCACACACACTAGGTTGGTTGAAACTAGGGCAAATAAAGGATCTCAAAAGAAAGACATTGTAGATTACCCTACAATGGTATGCAAACCTTCGTATGTATATTCAGAAGTTTGTCCCACTGAGTTTAATGGGACTTACTCTCAGATAAGTGTACAGAATTGCAGGCGTAGCTGAAGGTGGAGGGGGGAAGACTCACAGAACCGTAGAGCTGGAAGAGAAGTCATCTAGTCCAACCCCCTACAATGCAGTCAATAAGAACTCCTACGAGTATAGCACGAGAGGGTAACTCGCCCCCCTCGAAATAACAATGAACACACACAAACCCTTCCTGGACCCCCTTAGTAACTTGAAGAAAAGGCTGTTTCCCCATAAGTATGATAACCGAATCATAAACCGGAAGCTAAAACGAGACTGCAGTCCTAAGCGTGCTTTACTTGGAAGGGTTACTCCCATCAAAACGAGCAAAGAGAAAATAAGTTGAGAATGGGGTGTCCATGTGAAACATACCGTCATTCCTCTTTCAGAAATATCACAAAAACTTGCCCCACCCTGACACGCCGTTTTGGCTCCAGCGGTGCAACTGAGGTTCAGATCTGACAGGGAAAAATGGGTCTGACCCACTGAACTCCAACTCCCAGCAGCCCCGGCCAGCGCGAAAAGCTGGTCAGCAATGATGGGAACCGCAGCGACCCCTGGAGCCCCAGGCTCCCATGTTTGACTTGTATTATGCACTTTACTTCAAAATGAGGCAGTGTGCAGCCCAGCTACGTTTGGCGACCCTTCTTCTTATTCTGCCGAACTGTGCCCCGAAGTCCTACCCAAACGGCAACGCTGCTTTGCCCCTCCTGCACCCTCTTCCTTAGGAGACCGTGCAACTTTTACTCTGAGGGAAGCAGCTCCCGCCGTCTTCGGCCCCTCGACCCATTTTATTGACTTGTGTCGAGTTTACCTTGCAGCGCCTCTTTGAGCTCCCGCCGCTCTTGGGGACTAAACGAGGGCTCCAGGCGCTGCTGCCGGCTCCTCCGCGCCCAGAGCTCCGGAGCCGGCGCGGGGTTTCGCGGGGCGTAGGTCCGGACCAGGACGACGGCCAGCAGGGCCAGCACAGTCCCGCACAGCGCCAGTAAAGCCACCCAGAGAGCCCCTCGCGCCCGGCCGCTCAGCGCCGCCATCTTGGCGCCTTCTGGCCGCCGCTCGGGGTCCCTCGGAGATCGGCGCGTCCCCCTGCGAATCATTAATGGAGCTGGTTACTCATCACAAGACTCCCCGGCGGTGTGGGCTCGAAGCGTTTACCCAGTTCCTCGAGATTTCAATGGGACTCGGCTTCCTCCTAAAATAAATAAATAAATAAAAATGGCTAGGCAACACAAGCGTGTGCCTGCGTAATATCGGCCGCGTTTGGGACTGCAGCAGCTCTTCTTGGTGTTAAAAACAAATGGGGAAGGAGAGCAGTATGTTGCAATCCTAAGGCTGCTGCCATTCACGGTTACCTGGGAATAAGTCCTATTGAACACATTGGGGCAGGGCAAGGCAGGGCCTCTCATGAGGCAAGGTGAGGTGACTGCGGGGGGGGGGGGGGACACGGGATGGGATGGACAGTACAGTATTGCCAGGAGCAGCAGATCCGGCCTCCCAAGGAATGCATCACATGGAGATCTTCACTTGCTGCCTGCTCCTGATGTAGAGCTCAGTATTCCTCTTCCAGGCAGGGGACACATGACTATGGTTTGCATCAGGTGCCAAAATGTCTTGGGCTTTGCACATAAAGCATTTTAAAACCATATTGTCAGGAAAGCACTGTTTAATGTTTGGATAAGATACAAGGATTTATTGGAAAACAAAACTCCAAGGTGGCTGTCACCAATGGAAGCGAAAGCCTTGAGAAAGCTCAATATGGAGGTCAAATGGCCAAAATATTGGGAAATTTTGGAACAAGATGGAGACAGATTGAAATTACAGAGTTTTGAAAAACTAAAAAACAAAGTGCGAGACTGGCTTCATTATTATCAGATAATGGAGGCATACAATTTGGATAAGAAAATTGGCTTCCAGGTGGAAAAATCAAAATTAGAAACAGAACTGTTAGAACCCAAAACTAAGAATCTGTCAAGAATGTATAACTCGCTGCTGAAATGGAATACACAGGATGAAATGGTGAAATCTGCTATGATTAAATGGGCACAAGATGTTGGACATAACATCATGTTCGCTGACTGGGAACAGTTATGGACCACAGGTATGAAGTTTATGGCATGTAATGCCCTAAGAGAGAATATTATGAAAATGATATACAGGTGGTACATAACCCCAGTTAAGCTTGCAAAAATCTACCATTTGCCTGATAATAAATGTTGGAAATGTAAAGAAACTGAAGGTACATTTTTCACCTTTGGTGGACGTGCCCAAAGATTAAGGCTTTCTGGGAGATGATATATAATGAATTAAAAAAGGTATTTAAATATACCTTCTTGAAGAAACCAGAGGCCTTTCTCCTGGGCATAGTCGGCCAACCGGTGTTAAAAAAGGATAGAACTTTCTTTATGTATGCTACAACAGCAGCAAGAATACTCATCGCAAAGTATTGGAAGACACAAGAGCTCCCCACACTGGAGGAATGGCAGATGAAATTGATGGACTACATGGAATTGGCGGAAATGACTGGCAGAATCCGAGACCAGGGAGAAGAGTCGGTGGAAGAAGATTGGAAGAAATTAAAAGATTATTTACAGAAATATTGCAAAATTAATGAATGTTAGAGTGATGTTGGATTGAAATTAAGTGGCTTCTAGCTGTACAGGCTTTAAAGTTATAAATATATCAAGAATAAGGATTAGGATTAAAAAGGTTAAAAGAATGGAAAAATTGGTTTTTAATAGGTAAAAATTTAATGTTATATTATATTAAGATTAAGGATTGGGATTAAAAAGGAGGGAAAAGAATTGCTGGACTAACAAACTGAATTGGAATACAAAAGAGGGAGGTATGAGGAAGTCCGGGAAACAAGTAAATGTAAAAGTAGTGATGAAAAGATGGAATTGTTTTTAACTCTTTTTTCTTTTTGTATTTTGCATTGTGTATTTTTCTTTTTATTCTTGAATTTTTCTTTTTTGTTGATGTGATTCTTTCTTTGTGAAACTTTAATAAATATCATTAAAAAAAAAAAAGTCTTGGGCTGGCCCTGCTGTGGTGCTTGCTTCTGAGTAAACATGGCATGCATAGGATTGCGCTGCCCCATAAAGAGTGAAAATAGCTGTGTGGGTCCATGGGGGGGATTTCAAAGAAACAAAGTTGTTAATATCTTTATGAGGACCATCAAAAATACTAGAGAGTAGCAAACAAGATTTCTAGAACTCCAGAACTTCTGGAACTAGGGGTGGTTGTGGGACGGAGGTGTTCCTGGGCATGAAAAACCAGGTCTGCACATTGTTTGGAATAGATGAGGTATTCAACATGGAAGCCAGTCTTTATCAGCAAGGTTGGAGATTATTTTCAGACAATGCTGTAGGTAAAGAGCTGGTATTAACCTAGTACTTGGAGGGATTGTATCCCTAATATTCCTACCTATGCCCAAATAATTGGGCAAAAGAGAAGTACAGTAAATTCAACTAGGGCTTACTTTCAAGAACCAACGCATACATCCAGACTACTGAGGTGCTAGCTGGGATAGAAACAAGAATGTACATTTCAAGTGCAAATATTTCTTGTACCATGACAACAGATCGGGCTGTTAATGACTGCATAGATTGGGTAAACATTGTTTTCCCCTAAATGGATATGATCTAATATGGGGTGGGGACAGGTATGCTTCATACTTGCTGACTTGTATAGAATGGTTCTTTTTTTGAGAATCTGCTGCCATGCTTTAACTGTTATAGGGTGAACAGACATCTTGCCTTCATTGTGGGGACATTTAAACTTTTCCTAATGCAGACTGATGTTGATGGGAAAATACAGTTCTCTTCCTACACGGCAGTTAGTATTCAGATACCTTGGATGGTGTGAGTTAACACCCTCCTTGTCAAAATGTGTAGTACTTTCACACTTATTTTAAAATTATATTTTTCTTATTCTATAAAGGATACCTAAAGGACTGTCTCGATCCATATGAAACTACCTAGATTTTAAGATTATCATCCCAGGCTCTGCAGTTTATATTTAAATCAGACCTGTTGGGTAAGTACTAAAAACACAGACTTTTGTCCAGCATCACTAAGATTGTGGAACACCTACCTGGAGAAATATTCTAAGTCTCCTCACAGGGTGTTTTTATATTGGAGCTCTTTTAATTATCATTTTCTGTGTATTCTGACTTATTTATACCATTTTAAGCTGAGCTGCTTTTAATGCATTTGCGGGTGTGTGGGTGTGTGTTTGATCTGCCCCATAAAGATGCTCTTCGTTAAGTTTCCAGCCAGCCTGAAACAGGAGTTTTGTAGTGCTGTTTAGGCTGCTTGTGAGGGAGATTGAGGAGTTGGGGAAGGGGAAAATAAAATTTTCTCCCTTCTGAATTCTACCTCCCCTTTTTGTAGTGCTATGGTACTTGAGGGCTCTGGTTTGGGACTGACTGATCATCCCAGACCCGAGCATGTAATTGCTGGATGTAGGAAATGGTGGCTTTGGAGATTGAGAAAGAGAAATGGACTATTCTCAATGGAGGAATGAAGAAAGTGGAGGCCGCTAAGGATCAGTATTGGGATATGGGCATTTTAACTTATTCATAAATAGGTTAGAGTTCAGGGCGAGCAGTAAGGTAGCCAAGTTAGTGAATGTTATCAAATTGTTAAGGGTGGTTAAAAGAGATTGTGAAGAGCTCCAAAAGTATCTATACAAACTAAATTATAGGGGGGGGGGAATGGCAAATGCAGTTCAGTATGGACAAGTGTAACACATTGGGACAAAAATAAATAAATTTTAATTTCACATATGGAGTCTGAATTGGCAGTGACTGACCAGGAACAAGACCTTGGAATCATAGTGGATAGCTTATGAAGATGTCAACCCAGTGTGCAACAGCTGTTAAAAAGGCAAATTGCATGCTAGGAATCATTAGGAATGGAATTGCAAAATAAAACTGTTGATAACATAACGACATTATACAAACCTAATTGTGCAATCACACTTGGAACACTGTGTGGTTGCCTCACCTCAAAAAGGATATTGTAGAGTAGGAAAAGGTTCCGAAAAGTGCAAAACAAATAATCAAGGGGATGGAGCAACTCCCCTGTAAGAAACGTTTGCAACATTTGTGGCTTCTTAGTTGAGAGAAAAAGTAAGAGGAGACATCGCAGAGGTTTATTAAGTGATGCATAAAGTGGAGGGGGAGACGTTTTTCTCCCCTTATCGTAACACTAGAATTTGTGGACTCCCAGTGAAGCTGAACGTTCAGAAGAAAGCACTTACATAACACGTAGTATAAACTATGTCATTTGCTCCCACAAAAACTAGCGATGGCCATCAACTGGAATGGCTTTGAAAGAAGATTATACAAATTCATTGGTGATAAGGCTGTCAGTGGCTACTGGCCGCAATGGCTATATTCTATTTCCACTGCCAGAGGCAGCCTGCTTCTGGATGCCATTTGCCAGGAATCACAAATGAGGAGACGGTTTTTGCACTCGTGTCCTTCTTGCAGGCTTCCAACAGGCATTTGGTTGGACACTGTAAATAGTAGTAGCAGTAGTAGTAATAATAATAATAATAATAATAATAATTTATTATTTCTACCCCGCCCATCTGACTGGGTTTCCCCAGCCACTCTGGGCAGCTTCCAACAAAATATTAAAAATACAAACATTAAAAACTTCCCTAAACAGGGCTGCCTTCAGATGTCTTCTAAAAGTCAGGAAGTTGTTTATTTCCTTGACATCTGATGGGATGGCGTTCCACAGGGTGGGTGCCACTACTGAGAAGGCCCTCTGCCTGGTTCTCTGCAACTTCGCTTCTCGCAGTGAGGCAACCACCAGAAGGCCCTCGGCACTGGACCTCAGTGTCCGAGCAGAACAATGGGGGTTGAGATGTTCCTTCAGGTATACAGGACCGAGGCTGTTTAGGGCTTTAAAGGTCAGCACCAACACTTTGAATTGTGCTCAGAAACTTACTGGGTGCCAATGTAGGTCTTTCAGGACTGGTGTTATGTGGTCTCAAACAGGATGCTGGACTAGATGGGCCGTTGACCTATCCCAGCAGACTTTTATGTTTTTATGTAGACAGTATTGCATCATTATTATCCTCTGCAGTACACTTTTGTTTCGTTGGTGGCACAACAGGTGCAGGAGAGGAGCTTTCACTATAGTTTGTTTTAAACTGGTTTAATGTGGCATGCATGCTGGGCCTTTGACTGGACCTGGCTTCAAAAAAACAAACAAAAACAAACCCCACCGCCTCTGTTTATACGTGGCTCTGGGGATGAGTTATTATGCAGAACGAAACTAAGGAAACTTGGATGTTTTAATCCAAGATATTTTTGCCCACAGTAGATGATTCATGAAGTTCTGTTTTCTTTGCAAGCTGGGCACCATTTATCTGGAAGCTATAATGGAGCTGCATTATCTTATTCAGATTACATCTCAAATTTTTTTTTCTTATTGTTTAAGACAATTATAAGAATTAAACAAACACTTGGATGCAGCTTTAAAACAATATATTTTTAAAGTTCCAAAATCATCTACATTAAGCATGCATTTGAAATCTCTGTGATTTTCCACTAGTTAGAACAATGTAGATTTTTTTGGGGGGGGGAGAGATAATTTTATTTCTGTTTCAAGTTATTTCCATTTCCATTTCTTATTTTTTATTTTCTTTGGAAACTCCTAGAGTGGTTTGATTACACCCCACTCCTCACCTGGTTCACATGTCACACTAAGCCAAACCACATCTCAGTGTGCATGCCCAAGTGTGTGTGTGGCCTTTGGAAGAGAAGACTGCAGTTGCTTTACTCCTCTCTTGTTGTTTTGCTGCTGTGCTGCGCTGAGTTAAGCCATAGTTTGACTTAGTGTATTGTCTTAACCTGGGCTTGTGATTTAGCTATGGCAGACAAAACACAAGCAGTAAACCATAGGACAAGCTTTGAATGCAAATGATGGTTATTCTGGAGAGGGCTAAACCGTGAGTCTGGGTTCAGAAGACATGATGAACCAAACTATGGCTTATTTCTGCACAGTGCCGCATCAGAATGGCCAACCTTCTATTTGGTTTGTTTTTTCATGTTCTTTGGCTTGTGATGTATATCTTAGGCTTAGCATTTACTTTAGAACATTTAACCTTAAGTCATAGGCATTACATATTCAACACCTTGGGGCTGCAAGAAGGAATTACAACAGAAAACTAAAACATCATTTGCATTGTTCACATTTTTATATAAAAATTAATTCGCATTTACAAAATAAAATTTAAAAAGACAACTTCTTCTAGGTTAACTAGTCAGGCAGTTCTGCCTGAGAGGTAGATTCTCCCCGTCTGTGACACACGTTAAAGAAAATCCACGAGAATGTTTGCATAGATTAAAACAGCTTGAGAGGGATCAAATAATAAACCAAACGCTGCCCTTGAACTTTGTCCTGTAAATCAAGTTAGAGTCCTCCAACCAAAATTGCATCTGAGGTGAAGTCTAAGCATTGAGTAGACTGCAATCTGAGTATTTTCAATATAGTATTTAAGAGGTACAATTTATCCTTTTATCCCATACAGAATATGTATGGGATTGGCAAACAGGTCCAGGAAAATTGGCCCCTTCAGAAGCTTTGTTTATTTCTTAATGTGAACTTAAGCTGAATGTTTTCTAAATGTTTAGTTATTGAGAACAGGAAACTAAAGCACCAAAATACTGTGCAAGTAGCTATTATCTTGCAATTTCTAGACACAAGGTAGAAGCAGCAGTCAAAAGACAGTTACAGTTTTTGGATTCAAAGCACTCTGAAAGGGTCTGTCTATGCATGTAGTTCCTATGGAAAGTAATTTACACACACACCAACACACACACACACACCCCTACCCCTACCCTTGAACAGAACTGTTCTTTAAAAATGGGGAGTTGTAATAGAGAATACAACATTACTTCTAGGCAGTAGTTTGATAAGGCTCAGTACCGCAGCAAATACAGCACATGTTTCAAGAAATGATGGATGGTCACTAAACATACTGGTGGTGCATTTAGACCATAGAAACAAAGAGTGCTGTATTAGGCTGTAGTGATGAAAGCAGAGGAATAATTGGGCAACATCTTCAGAGGCATGCTTAATTTTAGTGTGAACTCTATAAAATCAGTTCACACTTTGGAAGCAAACGTCCCCTTACAAACCCCAAATAACTACACCTCATGAGAGTTATGTCTGTTGATCAATCATATATTCTCTGTGTTTCCTCATATTTCTCTTAATAAAAACAAGGGTGATGAGTGAGAGTTCCTGGGTATGTGTATATGCTAGATACACCCTTAAGGGTTCATAAGAATTGCTTGAAGTGTGGGATGAGGCCTAGAGAGAAGTCATTATAGTCGTGCTATTCTTCTGCTTCTTCTAGATAGATGAAGAATAATCCCTGAGTTTCTCCGTCTGTTGCCCATGCCAACTGCTTCAAGAATCGCTTGCTCTGCATTTCAATAACCAGAGATGAATGGAGGCAGAAGAGATCATCAGGTCAGAAGCCTCTGGGATGCAAAAGCACCAATGGTCCCATTCCAAAAATGCGCAAAGGCTATTTTCCTTGCTATTCAGACACAGAGACATCTCTTCATAAAGTAATGTCTTGGTCAAGAAGTTTGCCATTGTATGAGTGTTTCTCATGAGCTCACAGTGCTGTCTGTGCATCCGAATGAAAAATGCTTCCAAACATTTCCTAGGAGAGAAAAAAAAGATTTGGGTTAGAGTAGCTGATGCTGAGAATACTAGTAACAGGCCAGAAATGTACTAAGAAGAATAAGCGCTCAGACATTTCACTTATTACCACATTTTTCTTTTAACTTACCTCTTCTAAGTTTTGGAATTCAGCGCTGCTGTCTTCCAGTGATTCATCAGAGATAGAGACTTCTATCTGACTTGACCTCTGTATGGAAGCATGACAAATCACCAGTTATTGTTTGCAAGCTTAAAAACATGGTAATGTTGCTAGTCCGCCATTTATTTGTTTAAAACCAAAGGTCAGCACAAGACTCTTAAAAGATTTAATTACCAATACAAATACTAGCAAGGGGACAGCTCAATATATATTTATTTAAGATGATCTCCCCAATGTTATGCAGTAATAGACAGTATATACAGCAACTGTTGTGTACTTTTTCAGCTGCTGCTGCAAACATTGTGGTCATGAGCATAAAAGAGGCTGCTGGATCAGGCCAATGACCCATCTAGCCCAGCATCCTGTTCTCACAGTGGTCAACCAGATGCCTGTGGGAAGCATGCAAGCAGCACCCAAGCTCAAGAGCACTCTCCCTTCCCCAAGTTTCCAGTTGTACTCTCCCCTCTTTGCAATGGCCTATGGCTACAAGTAATAAATATTTATTGTATTGTAACATGGTGTATAATTGTTATTTGTAGCTTGTTACACTGTTCTGGCATGTACCTACATGTCAGCAAGCTCCACAAACATTTTCTAGACTGTATAAGGAGCAGTTTATTCTATGCAAATCATTAAACAGTAATGTGCCCACACACAAACCCTTATGGTTGACATATACCACATATGTATTTTGTTGTGTTAATGTATTCATTCCCAAGTACTAAAAGTCTTATAAGAGTGAGACAACAGTTCTGCAAATAGTTTCAGTGTAGTTTGGATGATGTGATGGCACTTCAAGTTCTTGGAAGGGTCAGTGCATTCAAATAGCATTTGTTAAGGGTGTGAGTGGAGTGGCAATCGTTGGAAGTTTGAAAAATAGAATGTACACAAATATCTTTCATGAATGTTGTAGACACAAATATCTGTGTGTGGTTCAGGACAGGCTTCTAAAAATATTGCCCAGCCCCCACATATCTGCTTCTTATCGTGCCTCAGGAGCTAGACCCAGCCTCACGGTGGAACAAGGACTTAGTCCTTTGCCCCATATCCAGATGATAACCAGATGGTTTCACCTTCAACAAATCTCTTAGGCACAAATAGCAGTTGCCATACAACAATGATTAGGTATTCCATCATGTCAGCTGAAGGCTGGGTCAACAAGTCCTTTATCAAGCAAAGAAATGCAAATAAGGAAACCAAGACCATGACTACCCCATGTGCTGAGCAGCTAGATATAAAATGATGGGGTGTTTTTTATTTTTTTTATAAAACGTCTGTGTGCTAGTTTGTTGCATGCAACACAGGTTTGCTTTGCAGACTGACTCACACATCTATGATTATAACTTGATAAGTGCAGCATTGAGTGGCAATTTGCAAGTCTGAATGAGCCATGGTATTCATCTTTCCTCTCTTCATATAAAATGTTTTTGTAGAATCAGTTCATACATTCAGCTGCAAGTTAATAGAGAGAGGTGTCATCAATATGCTTGTGACACCCGGCTCTATTTCTCCTTTTAACCAGATACATTGAGGTGGCAGGCATGCTGAATCAGTGTTTGAGATTAGTAATGACCAATAAGCTAAAGCTCAGTCCATATGAGATAAAGTTAATGGTTGGTAGTGAGTTTACTTGATCTGGGAGGCCAGTTAATACTTTTATCTCCACAAGAGTTAGCAGAATCAATTGCTGATCTTCATTTGGGGATCTTCCCCACAATTCCATAGGAATTTTTAAAAAGCCAACCTGTGAAGGCTTCTAGAGAGAAAGAAGCACAAAACCAGAATGTCCATTTAGACGAACCACTGAACTGTATAGATTTGCTGTCTATATCTGTGCATGAACACACAGAACTGAGATATGGGGCAATTTAACATGCCACCATGTCTAGTCCTTGCTTTCTGCCACCTACCATACTTAATATTTCTTTATTTGCACCTATCCAAATCCAAACAGATTTTGCCCATTACATTTAGACTAGACTACTAACAACTTCATGTTTTGTTTTGTTTTTAATGTTTCAAACTTAGTCATCTGTGACAGGTTTCCAGGAACAGCAGAACACTATCTTCTCTCAAGACTCAAGCTGGATAAAATGAGTCCGGAATGGAAAAGTAGTTAGGGCAGCTTGCAGCCCTTGTCCCCAAATCTAGCACACCAACACACACCCATTGACCAGACATTCTGCTATGTATTTCTAATGACTAAAAGGAGCCTGTTATCTCATTCCCCTCAAGCTTCCTCTTCAGAGTCTGTTGTGGCAGAAAGAATATTAGCATTTATTTTTTTTAAAGTTGCTAACAGGTGCAAAGCTAGGCTTGAAAATAGGTGTACAGTATCTGATGATCGGAGGAGCAATTGATTATAGGATCTCCAGTGGTGCGGTGTAGGGCTGTGAGTCTGTTAGTGGTGGTGAACAATAGGAAGAGGGCAGAAGGTTTGGTTACATTCATACATACTATACTGGGTACAGTGTAGGACTAAAACTGCAGAGACACAAGTTCAAATCTCTCCTCAGCCATGAAACTCACTGGGTGACTTTGGGCCAGTCAACAACCCTCAGCCTAACCTACTTAACAGGGTTGTTACAAAGAGTGGAGGACTGTGTACGCTGTCTTGAGCTTCTTGGAGAAAGGGCAGGATCAAAGTGTCAGAAAAGAAAAAGCCTATTAGCCAATCTGATTCATAACCACTAAGGCAATGTCCGAAAGGAAAGCAGAAGAGTATGAAACACACATGCACAGAGCTGCACGTATGTGGCTACAAGAGTGAAGAGACAGTGAATCATCTTTACCTGCTCTAAGTCAGGACGCTGTGTGGCTCTGTTTCCATTCATTGTTGCAAACAAAACAGCATCATGGATGGTCACGAAGAGATGACTGGGCTCAAGACCTCCTTCTTCAAAGACTCCCCCCGTGCGGATATCATCATACACTTGGGCTAACGAAGGAGACAAAGTTATATAGACTAAACTGTAAGCAGGAGCTGTGTGCTGGAAAATTATTTGTGTCAGGGCATTTCCTATACACTAGATTTGTGAGCAAGAATAATAGGTAGAAGGCCTATGTTATGAAAAATGATAATATTTAAAGCCCATAGGGCCTGTTGCAATTGTTAAGAATCAGACACAAGTATATGGAACTAGGATGACGACCTATTGCTGTTTGAATTTGAAGCTCAAAATGTTAATGGATTGAGCAAGAGGACTAAGGTTCTTTGTTGGGAAATGTTTTTTCTCCCCCAGCTGTACACTTGGAAGCAGCTGGCTCATGTCATGTGTTGGCAAAATATTTTTTTCTGGGACAAGAAGTGGTATAGAAAGAGTCACTGTGTCATTAAACCCCTAAAATCTGGAGACTCACATTATTTAGAACCCTGTCCCAAGCTCGAATATGTAGAGTAATTCATTAATTTTGCCACCATTATCATAACACTCTTAAGGAAATCTCATAATTCTTAGATTATTGTGGGATAGCAAGGTTGTTTTAGGGTAGTCTGTGGGTGAGACACCCCTATTCCACATGAAAGCCCACATGATTTCACATGTTTATTAAGTTGAAATGCGGGTTGAATTGCAATCATGAAAAAAAATACCCTATACTTTTGCCTCAGTAGAAGTGCCATCCCTCCTCTGTGTTTCCATCTTCCAGCTTTAAGCTGCTTTGGCATATCAATTGCATGCCATTTCCAAGAACAATCAAGTTCAAGAAATCTGAGGTATAATCGTACCTCTTATGGTTAAGTAAAGTCACACATTTACAACCATTAGCAATGTCTAATGATTTCAGAAAAACACAACCCTGAATCTAAAATTAATGCAGCGAAGCAGAAGAAAACACCAACCCTTAATCATGTAAGTCTCTTATACCTGCCTCTTCATATGCTGTTGTGTGATTTATTTATTTTTTAAGCATTGTGCATCTTTTCTGCTGGCTACAAACAGGCTTTGTTATGAAGTGTCATGCCCTGAACCCTTTAGCTGGCTAAAGCAGCCACAATGGAACAAGGAGTTTACACCTGGAAACTGATACAAAACCAATTCACATTGGATATTTAATACCACTAGAGGGATAGAAACTACATGCAACAATCAGTTTCAGATGTGTGATTCTTCCCCTGATTTGTAGAGCCTGTTTAACCCTTCCACTTATGGCCACCCCTCCAGCTGTTTTGCCAACCATGGGGGAGATGGGGTGCACAAGTATCTTTTCACCCACAGGAAGAAAAGCAGATTGGTGAAAGCAAATTTTGAAGTGACAAATAGCCTGGCAGCCTCCAAGGCTACTTTGCATATATATATATATATATATATATATATATATATATATATAACGTCGGAGGGCATTGCTCAGTTTGAACTTGATTTGTGTTACTGCTGCATTATTAAATACCTACTCAGTCCCCACACTACACTACAGAACAGGACTTGTAAATTTGTATAGTACCTAGATTTTTGCAATTAATATGAAAATGGTAGTGTGTTTTACATGCAATATATTTATTTGCTTCCAGCAGTTACTCTGCCCATTTTCAAGGCCCTCAAAATGGAAGATAGAGAAAATATGGTACAAAGAGCAATAGACCTACCTTGTACATTTGCCAGAAATACTTGAATCCCAATCCTCTGATAGTTGGTGCACAGCTATATGAGGAGACCAGGGGTGGGGGAGGGAAAGAGAGTACATTATTAGCTTTTACAACACGAAATCTGAGAGTCCATGAATTTAGGATGCATTACAAATTCAATACATGGTATATTAGCATAATAACACTTCCAGTGTCGGGGGGGGGGGCGGACACCAAACAATATGTAGCACTGCATTTTCAAAAGTGCTTAGCTCAGGTGATACGGATGCAATGTGTAACCCTGGAACAGCAATGGGAATCACCAAGTGTTCAGGCTCAGTAAACAACGGCTGAACTTTGAATAGTGCAGCAGAAGGAGATCTGTAGGAGGAGTGCAAGGGTCACAGTCTGTTTCTGGGAACTGACCCGTGTTCCTTGGATTCAGCATCTTGTTCTGATTGCTTATTTGGCAGCGCTTACAACTAGCTGAAACGAGCCTAATGCTACCCTGTGCCCGTCAGCTTTTCTTAAAAATAAGACTATTGCAGCTCTTGTTATTAAAACTTAAGAGAGCTCAACAGGAAGTTTTAAAGAGAATGAATTCAGTAGGCAGTGCAGCGTCACAAAAATAAACCAGAGGTGGAAACAAGAGGAAAACTGACCTTTCCCAAAGCTTTTGTGCCCATCAGGTCCACAAAGCAAACGCCGCTCATATCCAGGATAATTGTGTGGAAGTTGACAAATGGGGGCGCTGTGGTCATGGGGTCAATGTTTGATTCTGGGATAGCACTGCAGGTGCTGCTGCGATGACTGGCAATTGTTCCCTGTTCAGACTGCTTTTCAGATGGGTTGAAGTTAATGTAGGAGACGCTTTTACCATTTGCGGAGGTCTGGTTATTGTTGGTATCTGTCGGAGACATGCTTGCAAAATCCTTCTGGAGCTCTTGCAGAGACATAGTCTGTAGCAAAGGAAGGGGGACCACATTCAAGTTCATATTTATTCTAACTTATTTTCATTGCTGTTGATCTTATTTATTGTGAGTTGCTTTGGGTTGCATTGGCAAAGAAACAAACAAACCGTGACTAATGAATTTAATAAATAAATAAATAAATAAAATCTTTGTTTCATATGTTATATGTTGATTATATATGCATAGACTCATAGAATTGTAGAGTTGGAAGGGTCCCTGAGAATTATCTAGCAGCTGTCCCATATGGGGGTCGAACCTGCGACATGCATGCGTGCTTATTATGCACATACATCACATTTCTACCATGGTTGGTATCTGAAGTGGTTAGCAAAATATCAGAAAATGCCATTAAAACAAAACAAAACCAGCCATCAAATACATTAATACAGTACAAACTTTTATATGATATCATTTAAATATTGGCTTGAAATACTGAAAAAGGCTCTCCAGAGAGTCAGAGTACTCTCCTGAATGAGGTGAGACTGAGGGATTTCAGCATTAATCATAAGCAGCCGTGCTAGCTGTTGGTTGTTTATCTACTAATTCTTTTTGTAAAAAGCTTTGAGGGTTGTTGGTTGTTGTTGTTGTTGTTTTTTACAATCAAGTGGTATATAAATTTTATGAAATAAACTAAATAATTCCAATGAAAGACAGTAATAGATTATAAAAAAAATACAAGTGGCGCATGAAGGGCAAAGGAAGGAATGGCCCAACAATTCCCAATTTTAGCAAGTTCATACATTTTCTTCACATTTTTCACTGTAGAATTCAGTAGCTTGCACTGGATTTGCAATAAATAACTGATGAATATTCTTTGCCTTATAATGATAAAGCTAATAGGAAAAAATCCAGTCTGGTCCAACATTTATTGGACCAGTTTGGCCCAATTTTACAACAACAACAACAACAATTTGCATGCTAGTACCATTATCCAGTCCCTGGTCTAACCTGCAGCTTCCTGTGGTCTATAGGTGCATGCATTGTAAGGCAGGCTTGTTTGTTTCCATACACTCTGTGTTTGTGGCAAAATCAACTTGCAAACATCTTCTTGCTAATCAAGTAATTCCTGTTTCATATGTGGCAATTAGCTGTGTATTTTTTTAAAAAAATCTTGTCCTTCCAGTTGGCAAGGAATTAGGCCAGAGTTTTCAAAACAGCAACACTTGGGATAAATAGCGATTTTTAAATTATGCATCTCATTTTCATTTAATTATGGGCAGGGCCACTGTATGGAAATTGGTGTGTGTGGTGGTGGTGTTGGGGAGATCAGTATTCCCTAAGTTCTGCCAGGTGAAGAAAGGAGTGTGGGGTTTTTTTCTTTTTCTTTTTCTACTGTGATAAGTTTTTGTTTTAAATCCCTCCCATTGACCATACTACACTTTGCATTATCTATTCTGACCAGCAACAGCTCTCCACAGTGACCCAAAGCAATTTACAAAAAATGTTACACTTGTTTTCAATATTTTTGAGAAAGGAATTTATTTCCCTTCCCCCTAGTTAGTGCATTAGTTGCAGTAGTGGGTGCAGAACAAAATGTGGTACATGAAAGTTATGGGCATCTATTGGATAGTGCCTATGAAGTCACACATGATGAATGACTTACCCACATCATTATGTGAACTTTTTTTTTTTAAAAAAAAGTTTATTTAATTAAAAAAAAATTATATGGAGGCTGACTGCTCCTCCACTGTCCCAGTTAGGTTTAGGAGTGGCCATGAAGGCTGGTGAAATCTCTCTCCAAAGTGGCAAACAAATGCTACCCCATAATCTAGCAGCAACAACAGTTCTTTTTAGGCTGTTGATAGCCTCTTTCCACTGTTACAGCACACAGATCAACTTTTTTTTTTAAAGGCCAGAATAAGTAGGGTTCTCTTCCTGTTCCCAACAAAGTTGCCTTCTGTCACTCCAACAAGGTTAACCCCTTCATGTATCACACATAGAAAGGATCTCTCACAACTAGGAAAATTGCTAAATTACCTTGTTTTTCCTGAAGAGAGATTTTAGTTTGCTTGTTTTCTCTGATGTTGCCCTTGCCTTTTCTTGATTCTTCACATATTTTTTCCTCGCCAAGTAGACTTTGATGGGATCCACACCAGTCTGTTCAAATAAAAGACAGTAAACCAGGTTGTTCTCAACTCCTACGTGTAACAAACGGGCCGCCATGTTCAACGACCCTGTCCTGCAAGTGAAAGCCAGTTCCAGGACCCCCAGGGCTTTCCCCTCTCTCTACCCTTGAGCCCCACCCCAATTGGGTGGTGGTGGTGGTCCTGGAGACTCCCCAGGAGAGTGCGCAGGAGGAAGGAAAGGCAAGATCTTTGCATCAGGCAAGCAGAATGGAATGATCTCCTTAGTCGTATGTTGGATTCTACCCATGGAATCCACAGTTCCTACCGTAAGTGGTGGAGCTGAAAAGCGAGAGGTGGACCCGCTTACATTTAAAAATGTGTCTTCCTAACTTGAGCAAGAGTTATATTCATTGGGAAGCAATGGGTAGGGCTGTGATATTGGCTTCAATCTGAGATTCAAACAAAATATTTCAGTGCAAGTGTGAGTACAGTACACTGGTTTGCCCAGTGACTGCTTCTGCCTCCTAAGATGTCGGTGGTGACAATGATACATACACTTATTTTAAAAATAAAATAACAAAATACAGAGAAAAGTGGGGAAACCACAATGAAATCTGAGAGGAAATCAACAGAGAGAGAGAGAGAGAGAGAGAAGCCCAGGGAAATAAATAATATATTCACTTGGTCCTGAAAAGGCATCAGAGTAGGTGCCAGACAAGCCTTTCGAAAAATTTCCCTACCAAGCTTATTCATCTCTCCACAACTTTTGGTGTTCCACGCTTGTCACTGCAAGGTAGACTGAGCTCTGAAAACTGATGGTGCAGAAAGCCAAGTGGTATGACTTCTTGTTTTTTTATTTACTCATTTATTTACTCCCAACGTTTGTCAGTGAGCTAAGTGAGAGAACTAAACAGGTCCAATATACGCCTTTGTTTGCAAGACATTTACTGTTGCTTAGTGAGGAAAATCGTACATCGCGATGAAGAAATGGTTTTGGCATGAGGTAAATATCTGTTCCTGTAATGTGAAAAATGGTTAATCATCGCCTACACAATAGATTTTTATTTTTTATTTTTTACCTTGGCAATAACTTTCTCCCTGAATATCTCTGAATTAGCAAAGTAAAGAGGAGAGCAGTAGGTAACAATTTTAATTCCTTCAATTTCTCGGACCTGCAAAGAAAGAGAAAAGTTCTCAGGGTTCAAATGGTACTTGCAGTTCTTTGAGATGTTTAAAAGAAGGAAGAAGATTTAGTAAAGAACCCTTTTCTCATACTCATCTAAGGAGAAATGAATGCAGGCGGTAATGGCGACACTGTGGCAGCAGGCTCCCTCTCCAGATCTACACATTTTTGGTGGGTACGGTAAGTGCATCTCAGATGGGGGAGACCATTCAATCCAGCACAAGCTTTCACCTAAACAGCTGGCTGGCAGAATCCTAGGCTATGTGTGCCCTGTTGCAGTACTCAATATGTAGCACCTGTTAACATGTGGATTCCCCTCAATTTGCTAGTCTGCTTCCTGAAAGTAGTGTCACTTTGGTAAGAGTTACTACTTTCCATTAACTCTTTCATCTCTGTTCTTGCTAGGGAACAGAAAATAGCCAGAAAGTACATTTTCCTAATCTTGCACACTTTTCACCCTTTGCAAAAGTTAAATTAAAGTGAAATTCCTTCCCAGATAGTATTGACTCTTCAGTTTAGCCAAACAGGCTACAAAGTAGAGCCTTAGTGCAGATGTCAGCAAACTTTTCCAGCAAGGGGCTGGTCCACTGTCCCTCAGACCTTATGGGGGATGGACTATATTTTTTGGGGGGGGGGATGAATGAATTCCTATGCCCCACAAATAACCCAGAGATGCATTTTAAATAAAAGCACACATTCTACTCATGTAAAAACATGCTGATTCCCGGACCATCCGCGGACCGGATTTAGAAGGTGACTGGGCTGGATCCAGCTCCCAGGCCTTAGTTTGCCTACCCATGCCTTAGTGATTAGGTTGCTGAGCCTGTTCCATGTGTTTGGCTTGCATATGATTCCCTATGGCACAGAACATAATTGGACATTCATACTAGAGCCAGTGTCATACACATTCCTATTTACTCTGCAAGCAGTGAGCTCCCACTGCTGGTTTGGGAAGTGGTGCACAATGTTAGCCATGGAAATGGTTACAAAAGAAAAGAGCAATGCTGCCAGTGAATTTCAAACTCTACTGAACAATAATGGCCAACTTTGGCCATCAATGCTATGAGGTAAATTTGCACAACAAATAGATGTTCAGACTCAAATCACATCTGATGAGAGAGCAAACATCTCACTTGCGTATTGATGGCAAAAACAGGACCCATTTTCTGACCCATTTACCTTGCTGTAGACTTTGGGATTTTTGTATATATCAGTAGCAGCTACAGGACCAATGACACAACCATTGCGACTGTGAAGAAAAATGGAAAGAAACAATTGTCAAAATATAGACAGCCTTTAAAAAAAAAAATCAGTTTCACTGAAGTTCCTGTTAATACAGTTCAATGATGCAAGTGAAATAGAAAAGAAAGGATTGTGTGCTTAACTTCATTATAAGTCATTATATAGCTTTAGGCGCCAGGCAAAATTTTTCCTTTTTAACTACCTGTGGCTGTCACTGCTATGTTCCAAAACATCTGAAGGCAGCCCTGTTTAGGGAAGTTTTTAATGTTTAATGCTGTAGTGTGTTTTTAATATTCGGTTGGGAGCCACCCACAGTGGCTGGGGAAACCCAGCCAGATGTGCAGGGTATATATGTATGTATAAATACATATTTATTTATTTATTTATTTATTTATTTATTATTATTATTACTACTACTACTACTACTACTACTACTACTACTACTATTCCAGATCCATCCAAATTGGGGGAGAGATTATGAAACCAATCTACACTCTTCATCCCAATAAGAGAGATGTTGGGAGGGGAGAAAATCACTCTAGAAATAGTGATTTCCACAGTTGGAGGAAATAAAATAAAAGGGGCAGGCTATTCTCCTTCACCACCATCCTAAATTGATGACAGAGGGTGTGAAGAAAGGAAGAGTGTGTCTTCTGGATCAATTGTGTCATATATACATTAAAAAGCTGATTGAGTTTCTTCTTTTTCCTGAATGTGTTTCACAATGTTCAAAAGAGCGGAAAACTGCTGTGTTGTGAACATGGTAGACATTTAAGTTTTCCACAGTTGATTTTTTTTTGTCATGAATGTGCCCCCATGTGGTGACAATTGGCAGCACACCAGGGAGCAGTCTTTCTGTGGCCTGAATTTGCAAGGCCGATATGGGCAAGAAAGTCTGGGGATTCCTTCTAGTCCTTACGGGAGAGACTGTCCGTCAACGATAACAGACAGCAGGGGTCCAAAACATTCTGGTTCTATATTCCTATCTACATTGCAGGCATGGGCGATACCAAGGTGAGTCCTGCAAGCATCTCCTGCAGTCTACACTCATGCAAGGTTATTCCTATGTGGGAAGCATTTCTGCAAAACACCCCCCCCCCTATTTTTCTGAGATGGTGAAAGACCTAATCTGGTGGACGCCTTAGTGGTATGAAAAGAGAAACCAAGAAAAGCAGAGGTCCTTGTGCTTAGTCCTTTCCTATTGTCTACCATGATGAAACAGTTGCATCCAAAGATGCTCCCTGAATATAAAGCATTTCTTCCAACTGGTGCTAACGGGGATGGGAGGGAGTTGACTTGGGACTGTGAAGGAGTGGAGGCAGGGGAGGGAAGCCTTTCACAATTTGTTCCTGCCCTAGTCCCAGTTGGCATTGACCCTGCTGTTCACAAGGAAAGGAAAATGCTCACTGATGCCAACAAGAGCTTTCCTCCCATCGTGAATAGAGGTGGGGTATGTGTGGTTCAAATCAGGATCCCAGCAGGGTCAATGGGTTAAAGATTCACTTGGAAATGCCACATTCTTAATCCGTTTTAGTTCTCCCCACCAGCTATTTGTTTGTGGTTGTTTTTAAATTAACTGCACAACTACATGATCTGGTTTCACCTTGACTTTCTCTCTGGGTCAAGCTACCACAGGAAATATCAGCATAGTCCAGCATCACATTTATCTCTTATACTGAGAGTTCAGTGAGTAATAAGTGGGAGTTCCCTTGTATCTATAATGGATTTCAGAGGAGGATATGTGCCACAGGTGTTTTTAAGCCTGACGTAAATACTTTCATATTTATACCAGCCTTGGAATATATTTATGGGAATGGCAGATTAGCTAGCAGTTATCTGAAACTGACATCATTGTTTACTAACAGGGACTGGTGCTTTCATGTTCCACGTGCTGGGAGTAGCACCTGCCTTTGAAATTTTGACCCAAATGATGGAAAATGTCCCTCCTTGGGCATTTCTATCACAGGCCACACCAGGAAAATACTTACAACTGGGTATGGAAAACCACCACAAGGATGGAAAAACCCACTCCCACAGCGAGTCCAAAGGGCAAGCCCAGGAAGAAAGCTGACAGGAAGCTCACCACCCAGACCACCTGTGGAAAGACATAAAACACAGCCGGTCACTTCCGTGCACTGAGAATGGGGAGGGGAATGGGGATACTTGGATGAAGTGGACGGGCCTGGGATTTTAAATATATCTGCAAAGCTAAGGTTGGGATATTGTAGCTCAGAGTTATATGTTTATTGAGCACTCAGACTTGCTTCAGCATGTACTCCTATACACATTTACCTGGGAGTAAGCCCTATTGAACTCCATGGGGTTTACTACTGAAAAGAAATGATTTATTGATAAAATTTATATCCCTCCTTTTTGTATACAGTTTACTCAAGGGTATGTGGCTGTGAAGCTGTTCCAAACTAACTACGTGTGCAGGTGCGTCACTGAGTCAGGTGTTTTGCCCAGCATATTTCAAGACTGAATTCAAGTCCATTGTTGTGTAATTCCATATTCTGAACTTCAAAGCAGTATCTCCCTTGGCTTCTATTTGAACAGCATTTTAAGAAAACTGTTGATGTCTATGACTGAACGATTTGGATAAAGCAGTTTCTGGAGAACACACATTGGCACAATTTACACTAATTTAGTTTACTGTTGTAAATCTTGTTCAGATAAAATATCCAACAACCAAACCTTTATAAAGCTCGTTTGCTTTTTCCATGGTACACATGCCAGTAAATTTTACATCAGCTAATGCCTGGAATCCTTATCTCTTTTTTTGTGAAGGACTTTTCTTCCCTGGAGGGCCATTATCTAAGAGTTTCAAGGCACAGTTTCTAGATATTGGATTGCGCCAACAAAGGAAGCTCCTTTGTACTAGGCTGAACTAGACTAAAAGGTCCAGTCATGACCGACTCTGGGGTTGCGGCGCTCATCCCGCTTTATTGGCCGAGGGAGCTGGCGTACAGCTTCCGGGTCATGTGGCCAGCAGGACTAAGCTGCTTCTGGCGAACCAGAGCAGCACATGGAAACGCCGTTTACCTTCCCGCCAGAGCGGTACCTATTTATCTACTTGCACTTGGACGTGCTTTCAAACTGCTAGGTTGGCAGGAGCAGGGACCGAGCAACGGGAGCTCACCCCATCAAGGGGATTCGAACCACCGACCTTCCGATCGGCAAGTCCTAGGCTCTGTGGTTTAACCCACAGCGCCACCCTGAACTAGACTAGACCAGTATTAATTGTTAAGAGATTTTCAGGGTCTCTTTCGCATGTCAGAGATTGAACTTGAGTCATTTTGCATGGGAATCATATGTTCCCCTCCACCAGTATTATTAGTGTTGGCAACAGGCTCTAAAAGGCAGCTTGCATCATAGCAATAGACTTTGGCTGTGCTCTTCCATCAAAATAAATCATGTTGTGAAACCACGGGTTATGAAGCTGAGTGCTTTCAAACTAGCCATAGTTAAGATTAACGAAACCATAGTTAAATCTAGGACTCAAATGTAATGCAAATCTGCAGTTAATTAGAAAACAGAAACAAAAGCTTCCATAATGGTTGCATTATAAAGGGAGGAAGCAGTACACACGTCCAAGGTTCATTCCCATCATTATAAACAGTGGCATCCAACTGTAGCCTTGGTCATGTTAGCTCAGGTCTGTATATTGCATACACTAACCATCTGAACTTTTAGTTCAGAAGCTATGTTTATTGGGCTCTGTTCATAAACATTCATTTACAATATATTCCTATGTATTCATAAACTCCAGCAAGAAAATGTAATTATATGCCAAGGAAATAGAAATCTTGTTATCAGAATAAATATGCAATATGACTTATTCAAAGGTGACTCCTGCATTGTTTTCTTTGGAATTTAACACTTGGAGTTCTTATGGAATATTTGTTTATCATTGAGAGACATGACTGAAATATATCTCCATGGCTATGCTGGCTAGATTCTTGCCTTTAGAAAAAAAAGCACCTGATATTCTTAGCAATCCAGATTTTATTAGGAACCTCCAAGGGGATTTTATTGCATGTGGAAATGCAAAAGCCAATAACCAACCCCTGGTTTCATGTTCTCATTGAATACTCTAGGCTTCATGCTGGTGGTGCTTAACAAAAGAGTGACTTAACCCATACCAAACAATAGGTTCGGACTCCCCTCTTCTCTCACAAGGCATTTAAAAAGGGGCACTCACACAGTCCAGCTTGCTTTTTTTCCAGAGGTAGTAAGGATCAGTCAATTGCTTGAGAGAATTCTTCAGGTTCACAGCTATCAAGGCTCCCAACACAGCCTGCAATAAAGATCACACAACATAGATATAGATAACAAACAGATAACTAAAAGATAACTAAATAGATAACAGCCTCAATAATATAACATCCTTTTGCTGCCCCAGTATGATTCCTGTTTCTGCCACAATGGCTACATTTGCTTGATAGGAGTATGCTGTAAGTCAGATATTGCTGCACATTACCAAAAAATCATTAATGTGCTATATAGTGGTTGTCCTTTTCCAACACAATGCCTGCCCAAGTAGGCCCAAACTGTCTTGAAGATAAATTCCTACTAGAACTAGGTCACAGGCAAAAGGAACTATTAGCACATTCCTGTACAGTGGTACTTTGGTTTACGAACTTCATCCGTTCCGGAAGTCTATTTTTAAACCAAAACAATTCTTAAACCGAGGCGTGCTTTCCCTAATGAGGTCTTCTGCTGCCGGTGCCCTTCCACCATTTGGCTTCCATTCGTAAACCGAGGTACAGTTCGCAAACCGGAACACTACTTCCAGTTTTGCGGAGTTGGTAAACAGGACTGTCCATAAACCAAGGTACCACTGTATATGTTTAGTCAGAAGTAAGTCTGTTTTCAATAGTACTTGCTCCCAGGAAAGCATGCATAGGAATGTAGCCTCAGTGGCAAAATTGTGCAGCTTCATAAGAAGTGAGTTCTGCCACTTGTCTGGTTCCTGTCATCATGTTCCCTTTCCTTGCCAGTTGTAACTGAAACAGTGTCCGCAACAGTGCAAATGTGCTCACATGACAAAAAAAAAAAGGGGGGGGAGGTTGTGACCACTGAGTTAGAGTAACTTTCTGCCAAGTACTCTGAATTTAGCCAGTCATTTCCTTCCATCTGAAATCAAAATGGCACCACACTGGAATTTGTTTGACCAAGCCTGTTACAGAAAGGTGTCCCTTAGTTAAAGATGGGGGAACTTAAGACACCAAGCATACAGACATTTCTCATTTATACTGGTTTTATACCAGTTTAACTGTCAACTTCTCCCAAAGAATCCTGGGGTTTGTAAATTGGTGGAGGTATATGCAATTCTCTGATCCCAATATCACCTCAGAAAATACAATTTCCGGGGTTCTCTGGGGAAAGGGAATGACTATTAAGCCAGTATAACCCTGTGGTGTAAATACAGCAGAAGATAAGTCTGAACTACACAGTCTGGAAGTATGTCTTAATGCTCAGTGGTACAATTTTTACCTTAGGAAGAGGGCCGAGGTAGATTCCCAAGGACAACATGGTTATCATCACGACCACTGCCACACAAAAGCTTGCCATCTGAGGAGAGAAAAGCAACTTATCACAAAAAGGACCTGCAATTTATGTTATGCTATCTGTCAGTAGTAGAAGCAAAAAGCAATATAAGTCAGTAGTCTGGTAGCTGAGGGAGATTAGTGGGATAGAAAGATGGTTTCTCGTCCTGCTCCACACCTTGCTTGCAACAGAGCCTTGAATTATTTGTTGTCTTTATATGAGAGGCCATGTTATCAGTAACTACATTGTTAATCATGGGGGGGGGTTACATATAATAACACTGCTTTTAATTGGAGAAACTGGCCAATTTTATAATTGTGGACTTTTGAATTATGTCAAAGAGCTTCTGGTTAGCCTATAGATCAGGGGTGGGAAATATTTGTCCCTCCAGATGTTGCTGGACTATGAGTGTGATCGTCCGGATTATTGGCCATGTTGTTTGGGAATGGTGGGAGAGGCCAACAAAATCAGGAAGGTCACAGGTTCCCTATACCTGAGACAGATCCTTGCTGCGCAATTTTTCATTTGTTGCCTTTTATTTAAAGGACAGGCACCTCTGGACAAGCCTGTGGAGTTCTGGATCCCCTGTGAAAAGTTCAGAACAGCACCAAGCAAGGGCTCTGTTGATTTATAGAGCTAGATAAGGCAGAACAGAATGGATCTGATCCATTTGTTTAATGGAGGATTGCATTTGAGATTCCTTAAAGTGTCTTGTGTCACTTTCAAGACCAAAAGACGTGCTGTAATATAATGCATTTGAAGAAGTGGACTGTGGACCCCAAAAGCTTATGCTGTAATAAATTCATTGGTCTTGAAGATGCCACGAGACTCTTGGATGCAACAAGCTAAGATGGCTACCGTTTTGGAAATTGAGATACAGTGATGTAAAATCCTGTTTGCCCATCATCATGCAAAGCCACATGTTAATACCGCATAGCCTGACCAACTATAATGGGTGGGGAACCTGTGGCTCTCCAGACATTGATGGACTACAATTCTCATCATCCCTGAGTATTGGCTATGCTGGCTAGGGCTGATGGGAGTTGGAGTCCAACAATATCTGGAGGGGCCACAGGTTCTTCGCTCAACTACAAGAACTGTCAACATGACTTGAACTGCTGCAGATGAAAAATTGGCATAATCTTAATATCTATTTTGGAATCTGACAAAAATTAAAATGGGTATGATTACAAATTGCAAGTGCTGGGGGGCTGGTGCGCTGTAATGTGGTGGTGAAAATGGAGCTCCAAATCAGGCTGTTCCTGGTCCAAATCTCATTTCAGCCATGAATTCACTAGAGGGCCTTAGACAAGCCACTTTTTCTTTACCTCCACTCTCTGCCCCATATAGCGGAATTGACCCACCTTTAAAGGGTTGTAAGGATTACAACAAGATGATGTTTCTGAAGTGTTGTAAACATTTGAAAGTACTATATGAATGCCAATGGTTATCATTTGGATCTGCTTTTGGAGATCCACTCATGTGGCCAATTCTGTTCCAATAACAGAACAACAGGTTGATTATCTACCTGCAGTATAAAAGAGTCATTTGCTTTCATTTGAAAGCCATGTCGCTCTGGGAATTTGCATTTAGAGACGATGTGGTGTATTAACTGTTTTAGATCCTAAGCCCTCCTCACATTATTTCCCCAAGGAAAAGAATGTTCAACTAGTTCAAGTTAATCCATGATCTAGAAATGCTCAGAGCTCTTCTTACAAAGTCTCCTAGTTTGAGAAGAGAGGGGGCTAAACAAACCAATAAATTAATAACCTGAGATTTTCCTCCAGCTCCATCCACAGCTAAGGTCACAGAAAGAGCACAGCAAATTACGTGGATTTTGAAAAAGGATCCAAAAAAGTTGCTGCAGCCGAGGGCCAGCATTTCCTATGGAAAGAAGGATAATGGACTAATCAGTTTAGGTGGCAGCATTAACAAACAAGATGACGTTTCTCTTACAGTAAGGTTACTTTGGCAGCTATTGCTGGGATGCAAAAAGTAGGTCAAGCGGTCATATAGCTCCAAGATTCTTCCTTCACATGTGAGGGCGGCGTTATTTATACAAAAGACTGCCGTCATAGCTGCAATCGCATCACCTGAGGCTCTTTCACACCCCATGAAAATTGCTTCTTCTCACTCCAGAAGCATCCCAGGATTCTCTGACTCTCTTGCAAACCCTCAGAGCAGGAAAATTATTGCAGGCTTCCCTTAACCGCAACTCTAATCTGAGACTCTCATCCCTGATGAATCATCCAGCAAGCAGTACAGAAAGGTCCTGCAGGAGTAACCTGTAGCACACTTGGCTACAGGTTGTTTTAAAAAGCTGTGGTTGTGCAAGTGCTAGCCAGGGAGGACACGCTCCACAGCCATGTGATGCACACATCACAGCCATGTGATGCACATTTTCAGAAGACACAGTTTCTGAGCTGCTCTTTGGAGAAGCCTCTTTAATCTGACTGAGATGTCTTAGGAACTAATTACTTGAACTAATTGCTAAATATCCAGCAAATAGTCTGTGTGTGTGTGTGTGCGCGCTCCAGATTCTTCTCTGAGTCAGGGGCCAGTTCTCAGTAGAGGTATCAAGCAGCAACAGACCAGCACAACCTGAAATGTACAGGAGCTATTTAAAACAATGGCACTGAGATTTGCACAAAGTATGCTTACTGCTGGGGTTCATACAGTTGTTGTGAAATATCATATCCTGTTTTGTTTTGCTTATTTGTCAATAGGCACCCAGAGTAGCTTTGACAAAAAACAGGAAAAAATTGTTCTGTTAAAAATAACATTAGAAACAACCAATTATGTCAAGCCGCAGTTGCGATAGCCACCACTGCTGGCAACTGCCTCCTTAAGGAAGAATCAAGGAACCCGTGGCCAGGGCCGGCGCAGGCATGAGGTAAGGTGAGCAGATTGCCTTGGGCGGCTGGATCCAAAGGGGCAGCAAATCCCAATGCAGACCTTCATTTCCCCTTGTTACTGATGCGCATCTTCATTCACCCCTTCTTCCCTTGTGGGGAGGGGGACACCATTTGTGGTTTGCCTCAGGTGCCAAAATGTTGTGGGCCAGTCCTGCTCAAGGCAGCACCAACTTAGGAAGGCTACAAATAGAGGGTTCTGCATCTCCCCCACACGGCCATCAGGCAGAGTGAGGCAGTTGCCTTAGGTGTGGAATCCAAGGGGTGCCGCAGCTTGAGAAATGACTTCTGGCAAGATGTTAGAATCTGTCACCGTTGTGACCCCTGTGAGCAAACTGTGGCAGGAGTGCCATTTTCCTGTTTTGCCTCAGGTGGTGAAACAGGACAGGCCTTCCCTGCCTGTGGTCCTCCAGATGTTATTGGATTCCAACCCACCAGCCTCATCCAGTAGGTCAGGGATGAGTCTATTAATACCTGGTGGGCCACAAGTTCCCGACTGCTCCCATAAGGCAAACTCTTCATGTGGAGCAGATGTTATCTCCTTTTCGTGTGATTCCTGCTCTGCCTGGGATTAGACTAGATGACCCATTTGGTTCTTCCAACTCTATGATTCTATTATTTTCTCTCCCTATTATTATTATTATTATTATTATTATTATTATTTGTTGAGAAAATTGCCCAGCCTGCTAAGGCAAGCAGTTGCACACCCAATGCCTCACTGCTTGGAGACTATTGTAACTCGGCCTCCATTGGATCCTCTTTGATAGCAACTTTGATAATCCGTCCATGGTGTGTGTTGCAGTTACTAAGAGGAGTCTGAAGGGGAACTCTCCATAGCAGTGTTTGAATTACAAGGAGGTCCTTTTACTTGCTGTGATGGCTCTCTTAGATACTATTGTTAGAAGAGTAAGGGGAGTGAACTGACTAAAACTGAGGGGAGTCAGGGGCAGGGATTGGAAATATCATTAAGAGTCCCCTGCTTTTCTTCCTATAAATCTAGCACTGTTTCTCTGAGGACAAGTCACTAGACTCCAACCCTGGAAATGGCCAACTTTGGGGTGAGTTATTTTTCCTCTCTCTGTAAAGAGCCACTAAATGTTACCTGGTTAGGGTCCACATCATAGCCATGCTTGGTTCCCAGAGTTCTGCCCATGGCCAGGTTGATCACATAGCCCACGATGGCAAGTGAGAAAGCTGTGCCAATCATGTCCTTCCACTTGCCCACCTCGGGAAGAGTAGCAGATGGAAATCTGACATCAAAGGAACAAAATCAAGCAGACAGGATAAGAAAACAAATAGCTGGAGATGAAACCAATGGACCAGAGAGATGGTGGTGGTGGTGGTGGTGGTGGTGGTGGTGTGTGTGTGTGTGATGTAGAAGCAAGATTCAGTTTTGCCCAGTCCCAGTTTCCCCCCCAAAAAGTAATGCATGAGTTGGTCTTAATATATAATGGATTCAAGTCATTTCACACAAACATAGTAATAGCCTAGAAGGCAGTCCTGTCCCCCACAAAAAACCCCTTGTTTATTCCTTCAGCGCGGGAATGTTGACATGTGCAGACCTTATAATAGTCACGGCAGCATAGAATGAATGATACAGTTTTATACCACAATGGTTATTATCCACTTTGCAATTATACTGTGCTTGTAATTCATTAAAGGACTGACTCATATAAATCAAGGCTTGCAGACACTGTCCACTTTAAACTTGCCCTACTTTCCATTCCATTTAGAGAGGCTGAAACACATCCAGCCACTGCAAGCTCTGTTTCAACTTGTTTTCAGAAGGGCCCACAATTTTATCTATTCTTGCCCTCACCTTCAACATGGCTGGTTGTTAATTCTGGGAGCTGGTGAGAAAGGGGGTGGGGGGCAGATTGCAGCAGAGTGGGAGTAAAAAAGCCTTCTCTTCTTCTTCTTTTTTTAAAAAACCTCTTTCCACTGCTCACCTTGCTGCAAACTCTCCAAGTTTTCTTATTTTTAGTTCATGAATCTTCCTTATCATATCTGGCTCAGCCCTTATTCCAGAATATATTCATTATTAAATACAGTGGGTGGGATTCATGGATTGGCATCATTAGGCTATCCCTGTTCTGGAAGAGAAGGAACTCTTGGAAAGAGAATAATCCAGTGCATTGACTCACCCCATATTAATATGGCCAACAATGGGCATGTCATATTTATCAGGCATATCAAAGCTTCCAGAAATTGCAGTAGCTACAATGACCTGAAATCAAAGCATAAAAAAGGCTTTAGGCTAGCAGCACATTTTTCGGTTTCATACAAGCTAAATTTGTTGACATATTCCTTCAGCAGAGAATTGGACTCAGTTTGTATAAATTTTGATTTGCATTAAGTGGGGAGAAATCCATTGAGAGTAGTTTTCCTGTAGATAGTGAATAAATGAATGCATGAATGAATGTAGAAGTTAGTCCTGCATAATCATATCTACCAGCTATGTTTAAATTCGTGGATGCATTGGACTGCTCCATTTATTGTCAGGACACTCCATTTAAAGTCTCTTTTGTATCAAGAAGATGGTGGCTGCTGGGTAGATCAAAGTATATAATTGAGAATTCTCAGAGTCTGGGAGAAGAGTTCTTTCTGGTCACAGGTCTGTCTTAGAGCTAACCGCTATAATAAAGCTGATAAGTCAGAGAAAGTTTTATTCGGGCATTTTGCCATGGTTCACATGGATTCCTGTTCTCACGGCATCTCTCCTGCACATTTCAGTTTTTGAAACTTGAGTAAATTCTGCTTTTTCTGCTATCCGGCCTCCACCAATACTATTCAAAACCAGAGTAAAGTGGATGTAACACATTCCTATATTAGAACAGCAAGCTTCATTTCACACTGCTGCAATAGCAAACTTTGGAGTGATTGCAAATTGAAACCAAAGACAAGGTCTGCCCAAATCTTTGCATTTCCCACAGCTCTAATTACACAAGTGCTCCCTGGGTGTCAGCACGTACATTGGCCTCCTGCCTCCCTGATCACCTGAGGCATGTAAGCATCTTACTACAGCTTCCTGTCTTATCATGTTTCAATACTTTGGAATACAACTACATTATCTGCATGGACATTTCCTGCTGTATAGGCTGAGGATGTTTTCACTCAGACTCATTGAAGCACGAGTCAAGGTTAAGCCGGCCATATCAGCACATTTTTCTTCTGTGACCTTGGCTGACCAAACACCTGAGGGCACAAGTTTGCATTGTTGTTTAAATTGGTGGTATGTATAGATTAATGATGCAGTTAGTATCAGCAACAGGTTTGTGAGCCTGCAGATGAATAATACCCTAACGTTTTTAAGATCCGACTTCTGCATGGACCAGTTTGTCACAGCAGGTGTGCAAAAGGGGCTGGTTTACAGACTAAGGACTGGTTTGAAGCTGCCTTGCTTAGCAAATAACTGTTGCTATAAACCGCGACTCCCAGTTCATAAGTAATGCTAAAAAGAGCTTTGTTGAAAGTGAAACCAAACTTGGCATAAGTCCTCCTTCTAAGAAAGTGGAGGGAGAAAGTCTGCTTCATGAAGACTTGTGGCCCCTCATCCATATAGTACCAAGCTGTAGCTTAGTGTGGCTTATGAACCAGGAAATTGTCCAAGAGTTGGAAAAGCATGTTATTATTAAAACAACAGAAGCATTATCTTGAATGAAGATGGTTGAATTCCCTGCATCAAATTGCAGAGGGGTAGTTGTGTTAGTTCGTGGCAATAAAAACAGCCAAGAGTCTTGCAAAACCTTAACAAATTCATTGGGGAAGGATTTCATCCAGTTCATCAGATATGGTTGACTTTTGTGCACAAATAACTGGACATTTATTGTGCAAAAGGGGGGGGGGAGAGAATCTAAACATTTGGAAAGGACTCAGAAGACCTCTAGTGCAACCAGACACATGCCAGCTTCCTTATCTCAAATCAGAAAACTTGAGTGTAATACTTCCCCCAGAAGTGAATTATTGCATCAATTTCCTCCTTGGGTGTATTTTTGACCACTCTGTTAGCTGAATAGTCAACAGCTCTTTTATAAATTTATCTCTGCATCTGAAGAGAAGGGAGGGCAGGCACTGACTACAGTGGAGGTTCTAATGCCCACTAACCACTTGGATAAAAGCAGGGGAAAGAAAGAGCTCAGGATCTACTACTTACTATAACAATCTCCATGGGAATGGGGACTCGAATCTTCTTCATGTATTTCATATTCAGCTCCTTCACGATAATCAGAAGCACGGTGCTGATCAATGCAAAGACGAGGGAGGCTATATTGGTCTTGGGCAAGTTTTTGCAAATATCGATAAAGGTCTAGAAAAAGAAAAGAAGGATGAAAAAAGAAAAGGGCAGCATGTGCATTTTTCAGCATGACTGGGAGATATGCCATGGTGTTTGTTTTCCAAGACATGAAGATGGTCCATCAGTGGCCATTATTTAGCCTTGTAGTCTGCTGTTGAGACTTGCTAGCACTCAAAGCAGCAAAGTCCCTGCAGTGGCCAGCTCTGGATTAATTATAGGGTCAGTAAGCAGGGCCTGACCAGACAGGATGCATTTAATCTGATTTGTTGTTTCCAACAACGGCATCCAGCTGGGAATTCAGAGAAAGGTTCAAGAGGCTCACAGCAGGTCCCTGCAGCCTCCATAACTCCACAAACGCTTTCTTTCTAATCCCTTATAATTAAAATGTGGAAGAATTAATGGTAACTCTGACACTTATGTGCACTTTTCCTAGAATTACAGGACCCCAAGAGTTCTCCTGTACCTTTAAGAGTTATCTAGAAGGGAAAATTTACCAGGTGGAGCTTTTCCTGCCATGCAGCACCACGGCAAGCAAAATCCTGCCTTCTGTGCAAGATTTGGGAGACTCTGCAAGCCTGCCATTCTCTCTTGAAATATCTCTCCTTTCCTGACCTCATGCTTTCTTCAGTCCAGTTGATTACATTTCCTTTCATAAATATATGGTTTAATAATCTATTTTATTATTTTCATTTGTTCTTGCATTTTAAGGCAAAGAAAAGAAAAACATCTCAGCCATTCATTATTGCATTTGTACAGCAAGCCAACTCTTCCAGGGCCCAGTCAGTTGACTAGGGAAATTAATCATTAATATCATTTGTCACTATCAGGCAGTTTAGGGCAATAACCATCATCTCATCTTCTGGTAACTAACTTACATAAACAATGGCAAGGGGTCCTGTGTAAGAGTCAATCTTCAGGCCAAAGATATACTTGAGCACAGAGATGAGGATCTGCAGGCCAGCTGCTGTCATGAACCCCCTGATGAAGGATTCTGAGAGGTAGATCGCAACGAAGCCAAACTGCACAAATCCTAGGCATATCTATGGACAGACAGACAGACAGGCATGCCAGATGGAATAGTGAGCACAACTTCTCAGAAGGATATCCCATAGTTCAAACTATAGTCCACAGGAATCTTGGATAGGGAAGAAATTCAGTTCAGTTTGCAAATGAAGTTGAGTGTATATAATTTTCTCTTTCCAAATCAACATGGGAACCAAAGTATAGCCATCCTTCAAAGTTCACACTTATATGAGTTTTGCAACACAGTTCCCCAACCAACCACTGTTTATAAAAATACATATAACAGGAGGAAATGGGCAGAAAAATGAATATAGCAAGCGAACATAACAAACTAAAATGTGTTACATTAGGAGGAATCGCTTGCAAAAATGTATAGCTTAGTCAAAACCGCACACTGAAATGCTGAAGAACTTTTATGAGGATTTGAAAATAATAATAATCTCACATTGCTGCAGAAAGGGGAAGAACTGAAGATAACTGGAATTGAGAGCTCCTTTCATCCCTAGTCTCTGGTGTGTGGAAATGAATAAGATAACTGTTGCAGGAGGAATTTCCTCCAGTGTAGGAGTATGGCACTGACCCAATATATGTGACCCATCCCTGCCACAGGAGAGATGAGGTAGCAGCAGATAAGGCAGGGCACAGATCTTTCTGAGCCACACCAATATTTAGCTGTTGGCTTACTACCTATAAAGAGTATTGCTGCCTCATCTTGGGCATCAGTATAAGGGCAGCTCCACATATGATATGCAAACATGGTATACCAGTGTTTCATGTAGGAAACACTTGACGTATTGATGCCACACACACATAAACATGTGTTGATGAACATCTATGGATGCATGTGATGCCCTGGCACAGTTACTGTTTCTAGATGTGTATACATGGGTGTTTAAAGGCACATGTTCATCCATACAGCTCAAGCAGCCATCTTTGTTTTCTACATTGGCTTCCAAATGCTAGTATAGTCATGCCTTTGCTTTCCCTTCTGTTCGATACATGAGCAGTTAATGCCAAACTCTATGCACGGCTGCCTTCTGCACAGTTCTGAATACAGGGCATCCTTACCTGGATTATGGCTGTCAGGCAAGCCAAGGTGGCAGAGATCTCCAGTCTGGCTGCTTCCATGGCTGTGTTGTTAATCATCACCTCATTGGCTGTGTGGTTAAAGTACTGGAAGTCGGAATCAGGAGCCAGCTCATGGCAGACATTCCCCACAATAATACTGATGACTGCAAAAGTGCCTGTGGGACACACACACAAAGGTTGGCTTACACTCATGAAGAGCATCTCTCATGTATGTAGTGACAGTTAGTGCTTAAGAAGGCTGAAGACTGCAAAAATATATAGACCAATGGGCCAGGCTGGGCTACTCTTCTGCTTAATTTCATCTACGTAACTGGCAGTAGCGTAAGGCGGCTGAATGGTGCATGACTGATAATGGCATAAAATGAATTATGGATCTCTTTTCCCCAGCCTTGCAACTAGTTTATGAAACAGGTTGAATGGCATGGCATCCCCCCTACTCTTTGGTCCTCCCAGTGGCAGAGCATATGCCTGCGCTGCACAGGGTGGGCGCGTTCCCAAGGGGCGCGGGGGCGTGCTCCCGAGGGGCATGGAGGGTGCCCTCCCAGGCACAGGATAGCCGTGCATGCACCCACCGATCCCGCTTCCTTCCACTCCACTTCCCTTCTCAGGCAGGCAGGGGAGAGGATGGGAAGGAGGTAGGCGAGCAGGAAGGGGAGAGGAAGGAACTGGCAAAGCGGCACAGCAGCTCCCCCCTTCCCCCGACGGCTCGTGGTAGGCATGGGAGTCCAAGTCACGGGTTGGCGGCGCACCGGATGTCACCCCCGCTCAGGGATGTCACCCCCGCTCAGGGATGACACCCAGAGCGGTGCGCACCCACCTTCCTCCGCCAGTGGTTCCCCCCCATTACCAAGAATAAGAGACATGTCAACAAATATTTGAGTGAGATCAGGCCACAATTTTATTGACAATAGATGTTCCCCACCTCTGCCCTTCAGCAATTTCTTCAATGCATTAGTGCAAACTTCCAGTTTATGTACTCAAGCTTGAGGAGGTATGTGCACTCAATTCAGTCACTATAGTGGAATAGAAGACCTCACCTGGGACCATTTGATGAACACCTCCTAGCAAGAAATAGGCTATCAGAGGGAAGAAGGATGAGTAGAGCCCATTGATCGGAGGTAGGTTGGCCAACAGAGCAAAGGCCATACCTAAAAAACACAAGTGAAAAGCAGATCAGACCTTCCATCCTAACTATGCTCAAGTCTGCCTTATGAAAACAAGATGCCACACACCATAGCAGATTCTACAGCGGGTATGCCAACCTTTCAGCATGGCACCATCAGAAAGGTTAGGCAACAAAGACGACAGTAGATGTTTGGGGTGCTCAGCAAGCAGGCTAAGGGTGACATTAAGGTTCTGTCATTATTGCTGAGGTTTACACAACCAAGATGCCAATGCAGATCCATGTTCCAGTTAAAAATTCCCCACATTGTGCAGTCCCATCCTTATAAATGCATTGGGGTAGTAATGTTTGATATAGGGCACACATACAGATATCCAATCCCAATAAGAGCCTGCTTACATGATTTATTCTCACTTTTGGAGAAAATGAACTTTGTGACAGATTTCAAGAGTATTGTGTCAATGTTGACACCCTGGTTCATATGCTACTTCCCCCTATGGCTGTGGTGTGAGGTGCCTACACATTAGGGAGGGGCTGATTTTTAAAAGTATGAACCAGAGCAGAGTAAATAGACATCTTCATTTCACTGATCGTAACTAAAGTGGGCCATAAGCTGAAATCTATTACCTGCCATAGTTTAGCTAATGTGTTACAGCAAGATATATACACATTTCCTCATTTTTTTTCAATTGGTAAAACTACTCATGTTTGGTAGTGATATGGAAAGGGCAAAGTTCTCTCACCTTGAGGCACCTGAATAGTCCCAGCACTGATTCCACCAAGGACATCGGGCACAATATAATCTTTGATTTTATATTTTGGAAGCCATACAAGAATAGGAAACAGGCTGTACAGGATGAGTTTGAATCTGGATGGTGAACATCTAGTGAGAAAGGAGAAAGATGGCACTGAATTTAATAGGAGACTTTTCCACTGTTAGATATTTTGTGAATTATTATAAGAAGACTGACTGAACCCAGCACTTTATGCAGGCAGGGCAAAGAGCTGCTGTTTTGGTCTTGTGGTTTTCTACGCCCACACAGTGCTGGCATGAAGGACACAATGGAAAAAATGTTCCATTCCTATTATTCATAATTAGCCTTTCATTGTGTTTAATGCAGTAATGGGTCAGCTCCCCATTATCCCAGCCTCCATCAAACTCTGGAGAACAAGATGCCCAGCTGAATTCTGTGGTGGGTGTTTGCTCAGGCTAATGACACGTCCAAATCAAGATCCTTTGTCAAACCGAACAAAATTTCAGCAAAATCAATGTGTGTTGTTACTGGGTGGCTAAACACAATGAGGGTAATAAGCCATCACATTATTAGTTCAAGCAGCCCTGATACAGCCTGCTCAGTGGATTACCGTATTTTTCTGTGAACAAGACAATGCTTCCCGCCCCCCAGATGGTCTTGGGTGAGCTGGCAGCTCTGCCGGCTAGAGAGGCGAGGCAGGAGTTTGGCTCGGGGATCAAGAGGAGAATTGCTCAGAAAAAGTTCAACACCTTTTTTGGGCGATTCCCCCCAAAAGCTGAACAACTTAAAAATACTGATTTATTGATTTTGGGCTCCCAGAAGTAGGGGTGGAAAAATACGGTAGTTAGCAGAACAAAGTATGTGACCTGCTTCAGCAATGGGACATGAGAAATCAACAGGATACAACTGCACAGTTAAGCACTGACTTAGAACCTATGAATGTTTTCTCCAAAGATAGTCCTACTGCTTCAGTGGAACTTCCTCCCAGAGCTGCTTTGTATTGAATCAGGTCATTGGCCCATCTAGCTTGGTGCTGCCTATTCCTGATTGGCTGCAGCTGCCCAGAGAGACTCAGGCAGAGGCGCCAACTTAAATAAAATATTGGTGGGGGGCATTGATGCATGCTGTGACACATGGGGGCTGGGAGGAGCCAGGGAGTGGAGCCAAGCCCAGAGGTGGTAGCTGGAAGGGCTTCAGGCTTCAGGCTTCAGTGGTGGCTCCTCCATTCTTTTATATGCTGCCCTCTGTTTCCACCTCCACCCTCAGCCCCTTTGGTCTTAATCGCATGCAGGACTCTGTGGGATTGGCACAGCCTTTGTCCTCTAGATCCACTTTTAATTGTTCTCTGACACATGGAGGGGAGGAAATGAGAAGATAGAGGATGCAATGAAGATGCCAGAGGGCTGGTGACACAAGTCTCAAGGTAAAATCGACCCAACACATGTAAGCGTTTATAAGCATGACTACCATTTGGTGGCAGCAGGGAAGCCAGCCTACTTCTTCACTACTTTTGTGTCCTCTGTGAGCTGTCTTGTGAGCATTGTTTTATTTATAAAGGAGTGAGTGGTAAAGTCAGAGACAGTTAACCACTCAGAAGTTTGCTGTGATAGATTTGCAAAGCATTTTGTGGGTTCAGGTTGCTTGCATTCCCTCTGAACTTGATGCCACAGTTGATATCAGTCCAGTGGAAATGTCTAGGGCATTGTTATTGCACCCTAAGATCAGGCTGACCACGTGTTCTGTTTACCCTTGCCTATAATGGCTTGCAAGATCTATTGGAGAAGGCTTGGCTGGGTAGGTCCAGGGAACAGATTGCGGCTTCTTGCTATGTCTTTTCTTCCTACCATTACTATTGCACTTTTGGCACTGCAGCTGAGAGTCACCGCTCACATAACCACTACGCCAAATGCAGAAAAACACAGGCAAAAGGCAGTCCAAGCTGAAAAACATTGACAGCACACCAGCTAAGGCAAAGAAGAGGCAAGAATCAGCTCTCAGTTGCAGTGACACCTTGTAGCAGACTGCTCAGTTCAATGTGAAAAGCCTCAAGCCCAGCTTAATTTGCAATTTTCAAGTTAAAGTGACTGGCTTTAACATCAGCTCCACTTTTGTTACACTTGAGCTTATGCCCTGACCGAAAGAAAAAAGACCTATACTTTTGTAATAAGTGGCAACGGGTTATGATATTGCTACTCTTCATCAAGCATTAATGTGTCCCATGTAAGATGAATGTGCTGCATTTGCAACTGAACCAAATTGCTTTGAATTAGGTATCTAAAATAGCTATGTCTGTACTTATTTTTTCTCCCCTAGGTGGAGCTCTTCTGAGCATCTGTGAAGTCACTCAGAGAGCAGCTATTCCTTTGGCATGATTCCACAGCTCTGTCTACTTAAGAGACCATTCAATCATGCTGGGTGCCACCCAAATCTAAAGTCAACATCATTGTGTAATCCAAAGTAATGCATCCAGTTTACTTAATTAATGCATGCTTGGCAATGCCTTCACCCAGTCGACATCTAGAGAATATATACATCAAATGGCCATCCACCCAAAGTCCTGCAGTGCAGTACAAACACATCCTGTGGAGAAAACTAATGTTCTGGATCCAACACCTGGTTGCAAGTTGCTTATTTCCTGCACATGGCTTGTGCTTTTAGATGTATTTATTCACACACCTTATTCTGCTAATGCTGTGTGGTCTCTGTGCTCCTTTTGTCTGCATCTAAGCAAGTCCCTTAAGTACAGTGGTTAGGGGTTTATGGACCTGTCAGTTTTGATTCTTTCAGTTATTCATTTTCACAGTCTTAAATCCAGTTCTCCACATTTCCTCAGAAATTTGCAACTTTTTTTTTTAATAGATCCAAAATTCTCATGAAAATTCATTAGCATTTCAGTTCAAATTTCTCCTAATAAAACACATTTTTGCCTGCAATTTTGCTGTATGTACACATTTCTGCAGAGCCATTTCCCCATATATAATGCATCTTTGTATGTTATCTTCACTAATATGTGCATTTCTATTCATTTCTATAATTTTTTGGCTGAACCACTGCAATACAAAATTCAGAAAAGGGTGAATTTCAAAGGAGCAGTGTGTTTCAGTTTGCATATGGATTTGGAAAGTGGCAGTTTGGTGGGCTTATCTTTAAATGTGAACTCATTAAAAAAAGCACAACTCCATCCCTAAGCATGGGGTCTGAATTTCAAGCAAAGCACTGACTGATGTGGGTAACATTATCTGGGAACTGTTTGGATGGGCGGGGTATAAATAAAGTGTTGTTGTTGTTGTTAAGAATGTCGCCCATCATATGACAAAGGAGGTTCAACCATTTCCTCAAGAAATGACCAAAGAGTGGTGCACCATGCCAAATGACTGTGTGAACTGCTTCTATGTGTGGGTGCTTCTCCATTAATCTCTCTGTGAGAAAGGGGGGGAGGATGTGTGACATGAGAATCGCTGAGCAGCATAAGACCCCAGAAATCATTTCAACTCTCCCCGCCACCTGCAACCTCCTACCAAACACACACACACACACACACACCCCTCTGTTAAGGGCACACCGGCTCACTCTGCTGAGGGACTGATCAAAGCTCACTTCTCCCTCTGACATTTTCTAACTGACCTCAGACCTCTGTTTTCCCCTTGACTCCTCCCTTTCTGATGTGTGTCTAGTCTGTTAGACTGTAAGCCTCAGGGCAGGGCCTGTCATTCATTTAATTTTATGTACCACACCTTGTTTCTTTAGCTGAACAAGAAATAATCCATGTAATACCAAGAAGGAATAATACGGTATCTAGGAAACACTGTTGCATAAACCAAGTCTTCACTGTTATTTTGACCTCTTTTTGAAACAGGGTGATCTCCCACCTAGAGCCCCAATGCATCACTGTATATAGTGAACTTAAATTTGCTTTAAAATGATAAAGGACCAACAATGTAATTTAAAAAAAAAATGAATGACAGGATGGAGAAACCATGGCCTTTTAGATGTTGCTGCACTCTTGGTTGTGCTGGCAGAGGCTAATGAAAACTGAGTCCAATAACAACTGAAGTGCCACAAATGCACTCTCACTGGGTGAAGATGACAAAACTAGGAAGATGGCTGGCACAAATGTCTTCTTCACAGTTGTTTTATTCTTTTCAAATACTCCTAATATGCATTGGGGTTGGGTGGGTTTCTTAGAGGATGGGTATCAATATTATTGCGCTCTCCTTCCTGGAAAAAATATATTTATTCAAGGGTGAGTAAAGCCAACAAGCCAGCAATGGTGGCAATGAATCAGTACAAGTTCCCTTATCTACATAATTATGTTTCTCTGATGGCTAGTGTCAGAAAAGTTGTTTGGCCTTCTACAATTTGTACAGTTTGCTTACTCTAATCTCTCTTGGCTGTGGCAGTGGAAACAAATTTGTCTGCTATTAAACAATTAGCAACAATCTTTAACACTGAAAAAGAGAAAAACTGAGAATGAGGTGTTTATTATTCTCCACTTCACTTTGATGCCTGATACGGCACTGACTTAACCAACTCTGCATCACTGCTTGGGTTACAAATTCTGTAGGAGAATTTGTTGGAAAATCACAAAAGTGAATCATAAAGATGGAAAGTACCTGAAAGATAATCTGGTCCAGCCCCGCAACACATAGCATTTCTGATGGGTGAACATCCAGCTTCTGCTTTAAAACCTCACTTCAGTTTTGTGGGAATGCTTGGATTAAGATTGCCTCTTTGCTCCTGGTTTGTGCAAAACTCCCTCAATAATGGAATTAGCAATCTCTCATTCAAAGTTTCAATTGGACTGCCCACCACCACAAATCTAGACAGCATGTGGACATTATTTTATTTTATCTATTTTTCTTTCATAAAATTTATATAGGGCTTCATTGTTAAAAAACAAACAAACAAAAAACACCTCAAAGTGGTTACAACACTAATGTATGGCTTTCAACATACCTGAAAATATTCTTTATTTTCTCCCCAAGTGGGTAACTTCTAGTTTTTCTCTCAAACTCTTCATCAAAGTAGTTGCTAGAATAAGCTGGACGGTTGATGATGTAACGTGGCCGTGCTTCGTTCATCTTTGCGCCACTAAACCCTTCACCCAGAAATGAAATGTAAGGAAGCTGGAGTGAGAAGTGAGCATCACCAATGGAAGGTCCTTTAATAAGGCAGGCAGTTCCTCTTATCCTCATCCCAGTAAGCCTGCCTTTCAAATTTCCTTCCAAAGTCCCACCCCTTTCCCCTCCCCTTCCTGCAGAAGGAAAGATGGTGCTCTTCTGGAGGCATCGATGACTCGTGGCAGGCTGCGTGAGATTTTAGTAATCAGCTACTTTATAATGATGCAGGAGTTGGCACAAGTTCAAGAAACCTACACGTGGCCAAGTGTTGGGCAGTTACAGGCTGTGATCACAGCTCTTGCCTCTGTATTGTTATTTAGCCATGGGCCGGTCACTTAGGAATTGTCTGCCATGAAGAAAATGAGGTTAGGAATTTCTGCAAGGCTGAATCAGCACCCTCATTCAAAGATGCATTGTGTTGTGGTAAAAGTTCACCCACATTCTAGAAATCTCTTGAAGTTTCTGCTACAGTGCCTTGTGGATCCTTGACCTCTTTAGCATCTTGTAGTTTCACCTATGTTATGTATACATTTGGAACTTTTGCCTCGAGTGCTTCTATAGCTGTGATCTATAGCTCAGCAAATACACTGTAGAACGAAGGACAACTCAGAAATGTAACAATTTGACCTATTTTAATTATAATAATGCCAACCATTCCTGTTCAACCAGTCCTACGCAGTATCAAGGTGTTTCTAGAGGCAGGTAATAAATAAACTCCTTGAGGTGCAGGCCTTAGTATAAACAAAACTATCAAAGGAAGGGGAAAGAGCACTTTTGCAAGATGATAAGTCTGGGGGTGGGGTGGAAGAATATGAAGAAATAGAACAAGGATGTGGATCATTATTTTAGTACTGTATTGCACTTAAGCACTTAGCTGTTGATCAAGTGTGCAAATGAACAGAAAATGAATCATCATAAAAGATAGACAGAGATTATGAAGCAATTGTGGGTGTCGTTACATGGTTCTTTTATTTAAAGCACATTAAGCCCATGGGGAAAATCCATCAAGATAGTGATAATGCATCAGGTTATAATTGTTTTGATCTGATAACTAAATACGAGCAAAAAACAAATTCAAATAATGCCATTTCAGACTTGAAAATGTTGTTAATTTTTGGAACTGAAATGTACCACATTTTAAAATAACCCTCAGTTATTTTGCTGCTTGCATTGTAAAACTTTTTAAAACACTGCATTCATTGATCGCAGCGAAACAGCAACACAAAAACAAAACATGGCCAATATTTTTCCAAGTAAAATAAATATTAAAGAACATAACGTAAAAATAGCTGAAAAGGAAATATATAATTTATAATAATAATAATAATTTATTACTTATACCCCGCCCATCTGGCTGGGTTTCCCCAGCCACTCTGGGCAGCTTCCTACAAGAGATTAAAAATACATGGGATTGATCATCATTTCAGAGTCCCCAAAAAGGTGTCAGATCAACTTAGAATATTTACGTGAGTTAACCAGTTTGACATATATCTTTGAAGATCTACATGTATTCAAGGTCCATCTGGGTAATTGTAAAAAGAAATAGTAACTTAAGTGAATCTTGTGAAACTCCATTTCAGTGAGATGATCTGAGTGTGAGAGAACCAAACCACATATATGATTCTATCTGGTTCCAGCCTCATGATAATGGATTTCTACTCTGTGTGGGCAGGAGGGAGGAAATATGTGGCTTTGGAGTGATCCCTCATAGGAATAGGCAATCTAGTTGACTTTGGTACTGTGAGGCTGCATCCCAGGCTCACAATGGCATTTATTTTTCAGCATTCATGCTTAGGGTCTCACTGCATGACTCATTGATGGAGAACATTTTTTTTTTTGTCTATCCAAACCTCTGGGCTCACTTGGATGAAAGACTTCACCTTATGACCCTTTTCTAAATTGTTTTTTTTAAAAAACTAGCTGCCAGGTATATGTAAAGTTCCTTATATAAGCTGGTAGTTAATAACAGGTGGCCTCTTGCACCCCACCCTGAGACCGCCTAAGGGAAGCAGAGGGTGAGAAAGGGGCAGCAGAGGTTGCCAGGGGGGAGACAAGTTTCTGCTAAAACTTTATAAAATGGGTAAGTAATCATTTCTGTCAATAGAGGAATTTTGCCCTTGTCACTCATTTCAGAATTCACACCGCAGATCCTTTCTCATGAGAATGTAACAAAGGGTTACTCATGGATCAGGCCCACTTGCTGGGCTCCACGTCTCCGCCTGGAGCAGGCGTAAAAGGCTCCTTGATTTAGAAGAGGCTGCAGCTGCCCTGGAATGCAGAGGTCCAAAGGGAGGACAAAAATCAGATCAAGCTGGTCCTCCACTTAGAAACATAGGAAACTCAATCAGACCATTGGCTCATCTAGCTCGGAACTGTCTACACTGACTAACAATAGCTCTCTAGGGGTCCAGATACAAAGTATTTCCCAATCTTTACTGGATATGCTGGGGACTGAACCCAGGAACTTCCACATGCAGAGCATGTCTCTTTCCATTGAGCTACTGTGCTTGACCACTATGTCTTCCAGTCCAGACACAATTCAAGATGCTCATTTTAAATTTTAGGTCCTTCAATACTTTTGGGTCCCATATACAGTGGTATCTCAGGTTACATACACTTCAGGTTACAGACTCCGCTAACCCAGAAGTATTACCTTGGGTTAAGAACTTTGCTTCAGGATGAGAACAGAAATCGTGCGGTGGCAGAGGGAGGCCCCATTAGCTAAAGTGGTGCTTCAGGTTAAGAACAGTTTCAGGTTAAGAACAGACCTTCAGAACAAATTAAGTACTTAACCTGAGGTACCACTGTATCTAAAAGTGAACTTGCAAGATAGGTCGTGGATGCGTTTTAAAAGTGTGGTATTGTGCTCTTTTAAAACACAGAAGTTGCCTAACCCTGTTTGATAACCCAGATTGTTAACTATCATCTGTGCAAGCTATAAGGTGCTCTGGGCTATGCAAATGTTACACAAACCTGTCTTGCGGTTCTATGCTTTGAGCCTTCCAACTTGATTTCCTGGACCAGTGGCCTGAAGTCGGAGGGAAAAGGAAGTGGAGTGGTTAGGCCTGACTCTGTTATGTTCGCGTGAAAAGAATGATGATAGGTCTGCCAGAAAAGAAGTCCCTCCCCACTTCAAGCATTGCCCTACTAATATGCTTTCTGAAGTTGAGAAGGAACTATTGGCTGGTTATATAATGGAGAGCCAAAGCAATGAAATGGATAGTGCTTTTGGTTTGGGTCAGAGGCAACTGGGTTCAGATCTCTGATCATCTGTGATGTTGCATGGGTGGTCTTGAGCAAATCACTATCTCTTAACCCAGGGTTAGGCCCATGTGGGCCTATCCAGATGTTGTTGGACTATAACTCCCAGCATCTCTGACCACGGGTCATGCTGGGGAGGACTGATATGAGTCACTGCTTTAACATCAGGTGGGTGCCATGTTGTCCAACCCTAATCTCACAGGTTGGTGGGGATGTAAAATGCAGTAGCCTCCATGTGCACCATACTGAGCTCCCCAGGCAAAGGGTCGGGTGGAAACGGAATAAACAAATTGGCCCCAGCTTGGGAAATTTTATTTGATTTCCATTTGAATATTTGCTACAGCTTCAAGGAGTGATAGTTTCCACACTTGATCAATCCTCGTTCCCTCCCCTGGAGTCATGATGCGAACCTCCCAAATTGCAACTGTCTTGTTTCAGTGCAATACGCTCTTTGCTGGCGCTCTAGCTGGGTAATTTGCACATACGCCCTGAGGGATAGATGTTGAACCTTTAGTGCAAATATATGCATTGCCTCATGTGAGGAGATGTGCTATTTCCCACTTCAAGGTATTATGTATTTATTTAATGCATTTATATCCCACGCTTTTCTCCAAGGAGTTCAAAGGTGGCATGCGTGGTTCTTCCATTCCTCAATCCACCCCCACAACAACCCTGAGAGGTAGGTTAAGAAACCAAAGTATTTTGTTAGGAAAATGCCATACTTCCCTCCTCACTCCCACGTAACACACCAAGTCCAGCAGTGAATGCAGTGGCACTTGGTTGTTGAACGGCTTGGCTCCCCAAAAAATTGGCTCCTGAATGCCGCAAACCTGGAAGTAAGTGTTCTGGTTTGCAAACTTTTTTGGAAGCCAAACATCAGACGCAGCTTACGCAGCTTCTGATTGAGTGCAGGAAGCTCCTTCAGTCAATCAGAAGCCACGCCTTGGTTTTCAAACGGTTCCGAGATTCGAACAGACTCCCAAAATGGATTAAGTTCGACAACCAAGGGACCACTATACAGTGTGAAATGTAAGCCTGCATGTGTCAATGGGATAACTCCTCTCCATCATGCTCTCACTGTTTGTAACTTTTAAACATGTGCTACCAGGACTTACCCAGGATATTTTGCTGCCTGAGGCCCTAGCAAATGAAAATTGCTTCTACCCTGGGGATGGGATAGTACCCTCTACTCACACCTGAGCAGCAGGTTAGCTCACAGGGTGCAGGGTGGGCTGAATGATACACACAGCTCTATCCTCCAACAGAAAGCAACAGCCAGGGGAGTTAAGGAGGAATGGTCAGGGCTGCCTGCCAGTACTGTCCCCAGCAACCACTGCCTCAGTCTGCCAGATACTGGGGTTCTGAGCCATAGAAGGCTTTATAGGTTAAAACAATACTTTGAATTGTGCCTGAAAACATTTAGCCAGTGCAATTGTGCCAAGACTGGTGTTATGTGTCCAGACTGTTCATTCCCAAGGTCAAATGCTTGCCAGTGGCATTGCACACCAGTTTCAAAACTGTCCTTAAAGGCACCCCCACACAGAGCCGTCTTTCCCATAGGGCTTAGTGGTTCATTGCGCCAGGGTGCTGGCCTCTCAGGGGCACCCCAGCGAGTGGGGGAGCTGCGTGGCTTTGCCGGTGGCCTCCCCTTTCCCTGCACGCCCGGGCGTGCAGCTTGCCTCCCAAGCCTCCTATGCATGGCAGGAATGCGGGAGGGGAGCCTCGAAGAGGCGGGTGGGAACGGTTTTGATGGAGACACTGGAGCCTCTCCCAGCAGCTCCCTGTCAAAGCTCCCCACCAGCAAGTGAGGACCCCATCTCTCCCTTTTCAGTGCATCAGCTTCCCGGTGGGCAGAAGGGAAGCAGACCCGGAGGGGGCCACTAGGGGTGCATCAGAAGATGGCTGACAATAACATCTCTCCGACCCACACGAGGTAATTAGGAGGCTGTGATGGGAGTAAATAGCCTCCCTACCCCCCCAAGGTTGTGGGGGGGCTGCCCTTGCCTGCTGTGCCCTATACCACCCCCGAATTTGTGGGGATGGGGGCACTAGGCAGAATGCCGTCCTGTGGGATCTCGGCGCTCCTGGACGCTGTCTCTGATTCGCGCCACTAGCTGCAAGAACTTCAAAAGAATCAATTAGGAGGAAGCGAATGCACATATTTCAAGGAAGGAAGGGGAGTAAAGACTGCTAACTGAAGAGATCTCTGATAAACAAGACGAGTCAGAGGAACAAGAATAAGTCATGAGAAGATACGCCAAGACTCGGTATGGCAAAGGGACTGGATGGGGGAGGGGGAAAAAACTTTCTTTTCTTTCCTCTATGTGATTAAACAAGAATCCCCCCCCTCACAAGTCAGAAATGTCGTTTTAATGACTTAAGTTGTGGATTTAAGACTGTGTGGAGATAAACTTTCGAACCAAAGCATGTTTTAAGAAGATCGTGGAATGCATAAGAGCTTTGGAATGACGCAGTTAAAAATACCGTCGCCATGTTGGCAAGCTCTGTCGGAGGACTTGGGTCTGGGAGGAGGAATAGAGCTGCTTTTATATTGTGTGTGAGACTCCTCAGAGGGACTTAAGAACGACAGTTTGCGAGATAAATGATGGAAAGAGCGATGTTATTTATGAAAGCGATGATATATGGAAACCATCTCGATATGAGGATTGGACGAATGGAAAAATTCACACAGGATTACAATTGGTGTTTATCTGCTTAAGGAGATTACCAGAAGAGATCACAAAGAAAAAAGAAAAAATGTATGAACAAGATGAGATGTGGAAACAGCAAGATAAGACTGGATAGAATTATGAACTTTATTTGGACTGATTTGGATATTAATGCAGTAGCAAGAAGATGATCGGAATCCCCCTTCGGAACTTGAAATATGGGTCCCCTCAACAAAAATTTAAAATTCGGCTTTGTAATTCGGAATTTATGTGATGTGATTTGATTTGATTTGATTGGTCGGTTAATAAAAATTATTTTTTTTAAAAAAAGAAGGGAAGCAGACCCGTCCTTAGCTGTGCCCAAGTGCACTTTTATTTCTCCCTTTAAGTAGCGTTGCGAAATGCAGCGGGCAGCACACGCACACCCCATACACTGTGTGTGTGGTTGTGGGCGAGGACAATCTGCTGCTGTCCCGCCGCACCCAGCCACCCACCCACTCACTTCGAGGTGATCAGGGAGCAACCAGGCTTGGCATGTGTGTTTGTGTTTTTAAAACCCTCCTGCTGTACTTCCTTCTTGGCCGCAAAGGAGCGACGCTATTTCTACCCTGGCTCAGCTTTCTGACCACCACCCTCCTCTCCTGTCCGTCAGTGGGTTAAATGGCCTCTTCTTTCTACTTTCCTCTGTCCCACTTTCTTGCTCTCTTTTCATCCAGTAAAGGAAGGGGTAGGTTCCCCCCACCCCCAGCTCTTGCCCCTCCTTCTCTGTAGTGAAATCTGTGGAATTCCCAAGTTCAGGTGAACAACTCTGGGGAACCTTTCCTAAAAAATGTCAACAACTTTGGGGTCCTCCCCTTAAAAAGGTCAACAACTCTGAGACACGGGAGGGGGGCCACCAGAGGGATCTTCCCACCACGGCGCCAGATATGCTTAAGATGGCCCTGTCCGCACATACAGCACATTGGAGTAGTCTAGTCTAGAGGTTACCATAGATCACTGAAGCCAAATTATCCCTGTCCAGAAATAGGGTTGTAGCTGGACCATCAACTAAAGCTAGTCGAAGACCACCTAGGCCTTGACCAGTTGTGCGGATCCAGCCACACCCACAAGCTATGAGCTTGCATGTTCAAGTGGAGTGCAGTCCCATGTAGAACAGGCTGTTAATGACTTATCCAGTCAGAGAAACCATTCACCAACAACACCTCACTCTTGTTTAGACTGAGCTTCAATTTATTGGCTCCCATAGCAATAGTAGGTGAGGACTGCCCTGAAAAAAATGTTTTATGTGTTCCTTTTCCAAGCAGCTACCAGGATGGTGGCCTATACTTGTTCCCTGTGAAGATGTAACCTCGCCTGGGGATGGAGCTTTGATTATTGTAACAGTGCCTGGTAGAGCAGAGCAGGAAGTAATGGATGCCTCAGAGAGGTGACTCTGCTGAGGAATATAGGTCAGCTAGCTAAATAATTATCCCAATGGAAACAGAGTCAGGAAATCAGCACAACAATCAAATCCAACATGTCATGGAAACTTTAATGATCCCAAGCAGGTTGGAGATGCCAGTTTTTTAAAGGCCAATTCCTAGCCACACCGACTGGAAAGCTGGGCTGAAAAATTCCTGAACATCCTAGACACTAACCAGTAGGAATGAGTCATTTAAGTACTAGTTAAATATGACAATCACTACCAACATTTCCTGTGAGGTGATATTACTATTATGGTTTTCTTCACCTTTGTTATCCTACCTATGGAGCTCATGGAGGTCACTGCTGAGGATCTAATGGTATATTGGGGGAGGGGAGAGAGAGATAGTACGTATGATAGAACACAAGGTTTGTGAGGCCCAAGATCTGATCCCTAAGGTATCTTAAGTAGTAAAGCCGGTTAAGATCTCAGCTTTAGACCCTGGGGAACATCAATCAGAGTCGACAACAGTGGTGCCTTCTGAGGCATTTTGCTAGAGACTACTTCTGTCAACCACAGAACACTACTGCCTGGTGGAAGGATAAAAGAAGCAGTAGCAGAGCCACTGTTCAGATACCAAGTGGGTAGCAGGGCTCAGCATAGATGTTGGCCCATGCTGGATGCAGCTACCAATCAGCAGTTGTGCATCTGCATGATGCTGAGTTAACACTCCTTCTATTTCTCCTCTGGCTCTTTCTGGTGTTCACTGGAAAGGGTTCCAGGTCCCAGCACCATATGGTGGTGCTTGGCAGCATAAAATGGTAGTCTCCACTGAACTACCCCATTCCATTGAGCTGTCCTCATTCCATTGAGCCATCACTGACAAAAATAACTTGGCTAGATAGACCAGTGGTCTAAATCAAGTATAAGACAGCTTCATGTGGGACAATAAATACCAAACAGAATGAGGGAGAAGTTAGAAGGAAAAGCTTGGCCTATTGCTCAACATCCAAAAAACCAAAGTGCTGCACCAACAAGCACAAAACAATCCCACCGCAGCGGCACAAATCCAACTCAATGGTGTAACGTTGGAAAGTGTCAATCACTTCTCCTACCTGGGCAGTTATCTTTCGACAAGGACCAACACTGATGCCGAAATCGAGCATCGCCTGAGCTCTGTGAGTACAGCTTTCTCCCAATTGAAGCGCAGAGTATTTGAGCACCAGGACATTCGAGGGAAACCAAAATGCTTGTTTACAAAGCTATTGTACTATGAACCTTACTGTATGCTTGTGAAACATGGACCACTTATAAACGCCATCTCCAACTCCTCAAAAGATTCCATCAACAGTGTCTCCGAAAAATTTTAGATATCACTTGGGAAGATGGACGAACTAATGCCAGTGTACTGGAAGAAGCAAAGATCACCAGTGTCAAAGCAATGATTCTTCAACATCAACTTCATTGGATGTTGCTCGGATGCCTGATCATCTTCCAAAGCAACTACTCTATTCCAAACTTAAAAATGGAAAGCGTAATGCTGGTAGTCAACAAAAGAGATATAAAGCAGGTGTCAGCAAAGTTTATCTTGCCTGGGCTGGATCGGTCCCACAGAGATTTCCGGCCGTGGAAGCAAGTGCCTGCGCTGTGCCAGTTTAATGCAGCGTGCGAGTGGGCAGCTTGGTTTGGAGGCGGCTTGTGGGCCGGTCAAACGATCTCCATGGGCCGCTTCCGGCCCATGGGCCTTAGGTTGCTGACCCCTGGTATAAAGACTCTCTCAAGACAAATCTTTAAAAAGTAGTATAAACATTGACAATTGGGAGACACTGGCCTGCGAGTGCTCCAATTGGAGAACAGCATTTACCGAAGGTGTCATGGCCTTTGAAGACACTCGAACGCAGGACAAAAGGGAGAAACGTGCTAAGAGGAAAGCATGCTTGGCAAACCCTCACCATGACCAACTCCCGCCCGGAAACCAATGTCCCCACTGTGGAAGGATGTGTGGATCCAGAATTGGCCTCCACAGTCACTTACAGACTCACTGTTCATGGAAGACAATCTTACTCGGCAATGAGCGATCGCCGAAGATTCATTGATAGTGTGATAAAAGATATCTGATGTCATGTCATGGCAAGTTTCTCCTTAGTAGGGATGGGAGAGAAATTGGATTCAGTTCATATTTAAAGGTAAATCTACTTCAACTGCACTTCCTGAAACAATACACAAGCAATGTAATTCTCCAGTCAAGTAATGTGTACGAAAATGCACATACAGGAGTAAAATGTGCAAAACAATGCAATATTAGTGAAAATGACATACAGAAATGCATTATATTAGGGTACATTGGGTAAATTTAACAGTTCCACTAGTGTAAGGAATTTGAGCTGCGCTTGGACAAATGCAGTTTCTCTATCCTTTCTTTACAGCCTGATCCCTGCTACACCAAAGAAAATGTGACTAAACTCAGTGTGACTTCTTCCCAAGTTGGTGCACATGAATTTGCAGCCTTAGATTCCCAGATTTTCAAAGCTTGATCCAGAAACTTCATCAAGGATATGGTCAGGAATTGAACTCTGATGAAAGTGTATTTCTCCCCTCTCCACCTGACACACATGCACCCTCTCCGGTTTCTTATTCCAGTATTTATTTCAACTTTCTGAACAGCATGCTGTGGTTTTATTGTTACAGACTTGGGTGTGTTGAGCCTTTTCTCTTTATATCTTTCCTGCTGAGTGAAAGTGCTAGCAGACACTCTCACAAATCAGGAACAAAGCAAGGAGGGTTGAGGGAAGGCAAGAGTCAGAAGGACAAAAGAAGTCCCATGATTAAAATTCCACCTAAAACAAACAGGCCAATGATGTCAACATCAGCAAGAGTCAAGTTTTTGAGATGGCGTTATCGATGGCCTTGCCCTAGATCAAACACAAGTGGAAACTTTTCTGATTTCAGAACTCAAGAGCTGAGAGCCTTAGAAAAGAAGGCACGAGACAGAAGGCAAAAGCAACTCTTGAGACCTTTTCAGGTGTGGAGACGTGTAACACATAGCGGGGAGGTGGCATCGCGGTGGCAGCCTTCTGCCCCAGCTACTACACTTTCATTTCAGATTTCAAAATGAATGTGCACAGGTTAGAGGCAGAATTGTTTGCCATGTTGCTGCCTCTCTGCCTATGTGTGTCCATTTCTCCATAGTGCCATCTGAAAAGGGCTCTGGTTGTGAGCCGAAGAAGTCCAACAGAGACTCTGAACATTAGAATGAAAGGTTTTTGTGGCACAAGCAGGGAAACTCAGGCCTGGGGGCCAAATCTGGCCTTCAAGGCCTGTCTCCCCAGACGGTATCCTCTCATTGGCCACATCCCTTACTGGCGCTGCTTCACGCACTCCCTGAGTGTTAATGCCTCTTACTGGACAAGCTAGTCTAGTGTACAAAGGGAAGATTTACGTTCATTGCTCTGCCCATTCTTGCCTCTGGCTCTCCTCACCACTTGCACGCGAGCCTTGGAAGGTTGCCCAGAATGGAATGTGGCTGAAAAGGGGTCACTCACCTTTGCACCATGATGACAAAGAACTATGCAATTATTTCTCAGAAATGGACCATAACAAAAGAGATAAGCCTTTCCTATTGTGCCAGGGACACTGCGGGAAATTAATATGGTTGTGTTTTGCACTGCTGCACAGCAGTCACCGATGTGGTGTCCATGGGCATCAATGTACCTGCACAGGCCTTCCCTGTGCCAACAGGCTCCCTTCTCCTGCTGAAATTAGTCTTGAAGTAAGCATTCTAGTGTAGCCAACAGAACACATCGCAATGCTTGCTTTATTGTGGAGTGTTTTCTCAGTTTCTCAGGCTTGCAAATGTGGCCATGGGCCAAGAGAGGTGGGTGACCCCTGCTTTAAGAGGAAAGCCAGAATGCCTTAGCACAGGGGTTGCCAGCCATAATAGTAACAACAACAACAACAACATATTAATTTGATAGTAAAATAACATTGCTCAATTTCAACAAAATCTGTAGAGCTGCATTCTTATACCAGTCATATATAAGAAGACAATTGAGCAAGGACACTGTCAAATAACTGAATCATTGAATACAGTGCCAAGACTTCAACTACCCATGACATAGCCTTTCCATACGTAAGCATGAGTGGCTAGAGGTCTAACATTAACGTCACTTCCATTTACATAGCTGATATGTGGAGACCATACCTTAGCAAAACGACTGTGCTTAGTTTTGCCTCTAACAACCCTTCCGCGTTGTGTTATATCCTGTGGTGAGTTTGAGAATGAAATCTGATATTTGGAAAGAGCCAGATCCCAGACTTTCCCTTTCCATCCCATCAGAGATGGACCAAGGGAAGGTGGTCTCTAAATGGACAGAGGTAAACAACATGGCACTTAGGTCCTTATGTATAAGGGTGCTGGTGAGGGAGGGGGTTAGAATGGCATCTAGTGACAGTAGGGCCTGGGCAGGGATTGGGTTCAATGATTTAACTATAATATTAGAAACAACATCAAAAATGCTTTGCCGAAACCTAGTAGGCTCATCACATGCATGAGGCTCCCTCTCTTGTTACAGCTTCACCAACACTGGAAAGAGAGCTTTGAGTAAATAAACTGTAGGGCAGTACATCAACCCATCAGCTTCTCAGCCAGGATCTGTGTCATCAATACTTTTAGGCATTTGGATTTGAGGGGCACCAGCCCTTCTGGTCACTGCCCTCCCAACTCTCCCAAGATCAGCCCCTATCGCTGGTGCCAATAGAAGCACTTGGGCCTGCAAAATTTCCCCAGAGGTTGGAACAATCCTGGCCCAATAAGAAGGGACAAATTTCAGTAACGTTGCACAAGTTATTACCCTTATAATGTAAGTTAGCTGCCCTGGCATTTTCCTGTGTATTGTAAAAACAAATAGTTTAGTTTGGGAATGAGACCTGGTTTGCGCTTATGTTCTCAACCTATACAGACTCAGCCAGCCAGTGCTCTGAACGGAGTTTTGACTGCTGTTGCTCCCCATTGCTGGTCTATGGATGGAGGAAATGGACCACCAAGGGCACTTTACTCCATGGTCTGCTCAAAACTAGAACCGGCCCTGAATAGCAGACTCCTCCTATATCCAGGTGAGGCTCATAGATGCTCATGCAGGACCTACCGACTTGATTGGATGTATCTTTGCTGCAGATGGGGATGCACAGCTAGGACAACTAGTTGTTGTGTGCAACTCATTGTCTGTAATTAGAGCTCAACTTTCATAGAGTTTAGGATCAGATTATGAAAGCTGAGCTATCTGGAAAACCAAGTCCTGAGAAGAACAAGGGAATAACTTGTAAAGCATTAAGAGAGAGTATAGAGATAACAGGTAAAAGATGGTCCCTCATCTCTGCTAGTAATAAGGAGCAGGAAGAGGGTAGGATTTCTAGGAAACTTGGTACTATTTCTCCTGGAGAAAACTTTGATTAAACATGGAGGTCCTTGATCTCAAACTGGGATTATGCTTAAAAATACATACTAACTAAATGGAAGTGAAATGTGAGCCTCTCTTTCAGTTATTACTTAAAAGTGGGGGAAAGAGGCTTTGTGTTTGACCATGAATGAGGCACTTCATACGCAAAATTCAGGGGGGAAAGATCAGGTGAGTGTAAACTGGAGATTAAACAGACTCAAATACAGCATATTGGACATACTACGATCATGAAGGACATCGTGCCTCACCACAGCATGCGCATTTGTTCTGGGGCTCATAGTGGGGGGAAAGCAGTGACCTTTGATAGTGTCAAATATTGTTGCACAGAATTTGAAGAAATGACCCTATGATGATGTTCCTCACAAGGCAACCTTTTAGTCCTCTGCTTTTGTACCTTGATTCCCATGGGGAGCCCTTTCTAGCTCTATGTGCTGAGTTGCAATAATTACTGCATGCTGATTTCTAGGTTAAGCAACGTGGTTAAGGGATCACTACTTAGTTTTAGGGAATCTTGGGAATTGTGCCCAGAATTGTTTGGAATGAAAGAACAGCAAAACTCAAGTTAAATGACAGCAGACAGCGGGTATCAACTGTCACCTTCCTGAATGCCAGCAAGGGGTTACAGGCTAGGAAAGATGATGATGATTTATTGAATTTATATACTGCCCTATACCCGGGGGTCTCAGGGTGGTTCACAGAATAAAATCAAGATATAAAACCACAAAATACCTAATAAAAATAAAAACAACCCATTAGGCCCCCCCCGCAAACAAAAACAAAAAACACATTTTAAAATGGCATAGGATGTAAATCAGATCACCGCCCAAAGGCGTGGTTGAAAAGGAACATTTTTGCCTGGTGCCAAAAGGTGTATAATGAAGGGGCCAGGGGAACTTCCCTGGGGAGAGCATTCCACAGATGGGGAGCCACTTCAGAGAAGGCCCATTCTCGTGTGCCTCCCTCCGGACCTCTCGAGGAGAAGGCACACGAAGGAGGGCCTCAGAAGATGATCTCAGGGTTCGGGAAGGTTCATATGGAAAGAGACAGTCCTTGAGGCATTGTGGTCCTGAGCTGTTTAAGGGTGTATAGGTCAAAACCAGCACTTTGAATTGGGCCTGGAAACTAATTGGTCAGACCAGGATTGGTGTAATATGCTGAAATCGTCTTGCCCTGGTGAGCAACCTGGCTCCTGAATTGCACACCAGCTGAAGTTTCCAAGGGGAAGGGTTAGGTAAGAAAGGAGATCAAAGTTCAAATTTTCAGAATTGCACATCACAGTTACGCAGGACACTCTATGGTTGCAAGATGTTCAATTCAGCCTCAAAAGAGGGTGAGGCAGAGGAAGTTAAATTGATTCTGCAGTCTGTCACAGTGCCCATAAAACTCTATGAGAATAAATTAGCTAGTATAGACAACAGGAGAATGTAGAGATACACAAGTTAATAGCTGAAGTGTTTTACTTCAGGAGGATAGAACAGGTGAAATACTATTAATGTCATACGCCTTCAGAATGCAAAACTTATGCAGCACTGCAGAACCATATAATCGTATGTGTGATGTAAATGAATCATGAGCATTTTGAAAGAAGCATGTTTGGAGGCAGGAGAAGTATTTGCATTCTAGATCTTGTGCCTCAGGAGACAATGGCTGCAATCCTAGGCAGATTTAATGCCCCAATTAACGCAGTGGGACTCATTGTAAGTAAACATTCACAGGACCAATCTGTCTGTACTCAAGCTTTTCTCTGAAACTAGGAGGCAAATCAATCCATAATTTCAGATCTACAATCCTTTAACAATCCCCAGCACTAAAAGTCATCTGAGACAAAGGGCATTTTCACACAAGATCATTCAGTCCTGTTTTGCATTTCCTGGGACCATTATGCAACTCTAAGATCTACACTTGGCATTCTTCTCAATGGCATTCTTCTACAGTCTGCTCTACTTTCCATTCCAATCATGTTCATGTACACAAGAAACTCAGGGGCGCTTTTAGCGTCTTGTACAGCTACATCCTGCAGGGTAAGGCTACATGCCTGCTCAAATTTCCCACTGCCTTGCTAGTATAATTGTTGAACCCTCCACATCCTGTACAGGTGAGAGCCACATTTTTTTTGGGGGGGGGGGATGAAAGTCACATTGACGTTCCTGGCTGGTACTGACTAATCATAACTTTGGCAGGCCATAATTTGACCTGTTCAGATAACTTGGCGCACACAGTCTGCTGAGCAGGCAATTGATGGGCAACTTCCAGTCCCCTGCTGTCCCTTCTTAGGATTCTTTAATATATATATACTGCCCTATAGAGGATAGAGGACTGCATTCCGCAAAACAGAACACATGGCCACCCTATCCCACCCCTTCACTTTTACTTCATGGACCTGGGTCTGAATGAGTGCAGATTCTTGACCATCTCTCTCATGCTTTAGGCAAGAACTGGGATATTTTTTTAAATAACAAACACCTGGCATTCTTAACAAGCCAATTGCTTATTTGATGCCTTTGATTGAGCCCTTTTAGTAAATAAATAACTCTAATAATTTGCTGCAGGCAATACTATAGGTATGTGGGTTTCTTTGAGGCATCTTGTTGGTCACAGAGGACGCTGGACTAGATGGGCCTTTGATCTGATCCTGTGAAGTTCCCCATCCCTCTTGTAAAGATGACTGACACGGCACACGTAGTTTGAGCATATAAGAAAAACACCATACAAATGCCTAAACAACAACAACTATAGTGTGTCATGTCAGTTGTTCAAATGTTAGGGTTTTGCCAGCTTCCATGTATGTAATAACAGACCATGCCTTTTTGTCCCTGATTTATGGACTATGGATTAAGCTATCACGAGCTCTGAATGAACAATCACTAATGGGAATTTCAGTCCCCACTCCAATTATAAGCACACACTCCAGGGGCCCCCAAGCCCCCATCCCTCTGCTACTCATTAGGATCCATTTTGTTCAGGAGCAATTAATTGGTATTGGATGCTCTTGAGTGCAAGAAGTAATTCTCTTGTATCTCCCTGGAGCAAGTGGTGTTATTTTAATTAATGACTCTTCCAGTGGCAGAATTCGGCAAGATGGAGGCATCAAGCAACATAACCTGATCTGGGCAATCCTACTCAGTTCCTGGAGAAGTGCCAGTCATAAACATGTACTAGCTCCAGAGCCGGAGACCATAAACCCCTGACTGCTAGTTGCTGGGAATCACAAGTGCACAGGGGTGTGTGTGTGTCCTTAGGTCCTGCTTGCAGACTTCACATAGACACCTGGTTGGTCACTTGAGAGAACGGCCAGGATTCTTCAGGGACACTCTTAATATGCTCTGCCCCATGCTGCTGCTTTCTAGTGCCATCTAGAGGTCTCAGTCAGCATCAGGAAGCATTGTGCTAGGCTCTGTACAATATGAGGTAGTTAAGGAGCTTGAAATGTCATGGCCTCTTTTGACAAGCCCATGCCTTTTGTACCAGAGTGCAAGGTGTGGGAGGAAGGAGTAGATGTTCAAATGAGGTGCTAATTGATGGCACACAGATTTCAGGTTGGTTTTTTTTGTCATCAAATCAAACCAAATTACATAAATTCCAAATTACACAGCCGAATTTTAAATTTTTGTTGGGGGTACCCATATTTCAAGTTCCGAAGGGATCCAATCAACTTCTTGCTTCTTACTGCTGTTTTAATGTCCACAAATCTGACCTTATGATGTTCACAGTACTATCCAGTCCTTTCTTATTATTTTTCCACATCTCTTGTTGTTATTTTCATATATTTTCCTTTCTCTTTGTGACCTCTGATAGTCTCCGCAAACTGGTTAGAACAGTTTGTAATCCTGCATGGATATTAATTTTTTCCAGTAGCCATATCCAGACGTTTTCCATATAACATCACTTCCATACATCAAAACAGTCTTAGCGTCATTAATCTTCACCAATCTGCCTCCTTTCTCAAAACCTCTGAGGAGATTCACTAGGAATGCAGTCTGAAAACAAATCCGTTCTTCCTCCCGGCTATAAATCCTTTGGCAAGATGGCGACTCGAATTAATTGCTGCGCCATTCCCAAAAGCTCTTATTGCTTCTCGGTCTCCATAAAGCATACTTTTGGTTAAAGTTTATCTCCACACAGACTTTAATCATCCTGCTTGGGTCAGTTCAACCGATGGTTCTAATGAGGAGGGGTTCTTGCAAATCACATAGAAGGAAAGTAAAAAAGGTCCCCCCCCCATTCAGCCCCATTGTCAACATACCCCGCCTTTGGTGTATCTTCATCGTAAAATATTCCTGTTTCTCCAGCCCGTCGTCTTCTTTCGCAGAGGTCACTTAAATTAGCAGACTTCACTCCCCTTCTTCACTTGAAATATGTGCATTTGCTTCTTTTGTAATTAATTATTCCAAATTGCTGCAACTAGTGCGCGATCAGAGACAGCGTCCAGGAGAGCCGATGTCCACATGGGGGCATTCTGCCTAGAGCCCTCACCCCCTTCTTTCGAATTAGGGGGTGATTTATTTATTTTTAAAGAATATTTATTCCAATTTTACAATTACAAAAAAAGAAAAAGTATAAAAAAAGAGAAACACAAACCACATACATCTTATAAAAAACAGACAATAAAAAAGGAATAAGAAAAACAGAAAATCACAGTAAAAAAAAAAGAAATAACAAAAAACATATTTGACCATTACAAACCATTTTCCCATTTACTTATTTCCATGACTTCCTCTCACCTCCCTGCTTTGTATTCTAGTTTAAATCGTATCTCCAGCAAATCCTTCTAACCTTCTTTTCTTTTACTTATTTTAACATTCGAAAGTATTTAATTCTCCTCTATCCTCATTTTACACTTCATATTTACTTATTCCATTATACCCTGTCTGCCAATACGGTCTAATATTCTTTTCCAACCTTTTTCTAACATTCTTTTATATTGCAGTGTTTCTGAAGATATATTTTAAATTTTCTCCAGTCTTCTTCCATCAACCCTTCTTCCTGGTCTCGAATTCTGCCGGTCATCTCAGCCAGTTCCATATAGTCCATCACTTTCCTCTGCCATTCTTCTCGGGTAGGCAATTCTTGTGTCTTCCAGTATTTCCCAATGAGTATTCTTGCCGCTGCTGTCGCATACATAAAAAATTCCTGTCTTCCCTTCTCACCAATTGGCCGACCATGCCCAAGAGGAAAGCCTCTGGTTTCTTCACAAAAGTGTATTTCAATACCTTTTTTAATTCATTATATATCATTTCCCAGAAGGCCTTGATCTTTGGGCACGTCCACCAAAGGTGAAAAAACGTACCTTCACGAATTAGGGGGTGATTTATGGGCACAGCAGGCAAGGGCAGTGTTCCCCATTTCCTTGGGGCAACAAGGGAGGCTGCCTACTCCCATAACAGCCTCTTAATTACCCCGTGTGGGTCGGAGAGATGGTATTGTCGGCCATCTTCCAATGCGCCCCCTAGTGGCCCCCCCACAGATTTCAGATTGTGATATGTTTAGGTTGACTGGGTGGTAGTGTTTTTCTCGTGGGCCAAAATGGCTACCTTTACTTTTTGTTTGACTTGGAAAATACCACATTTAGCTCGATACAGCAGCAGGATCTTAGCCTAGAGCAGGTTTCCTCAACCTCGGCCCTCCAGATGTTTTTGGCCTACAACTTCCATGATCCCTAGCTAGCAGGACCAGTGGTCAGGGATGATGGGAATTGTAGTCTCAAAAACATCTGGAGGGCTGAGGTTGAGGAAGCCTGGCCTAGAGGAAGTGGATCTTCTGTTACCTGAATCTGGGACTTTATTCTCTGAGGGGACATTCCCTCCAACTGCTTGGTAAGCCATTTGGCTTCTATTTACTCTTTTAAAAACAATCTAGCACAACCACCTCAATTTAAGCTCTACCATTGTTAATATAAATACTGCCTAGTTTCTTTTTATTTCTGCTCTTCACCTACCAACAAACCTGTGTGTTTCACCTAAAAATGGAGTCAGACCTGAATAACAGCTGCTTTGTGCATTTCCAGTTATGGGGAATCTGCCATTATGGGTTTCTCATCCCCAAGGGGCCTGGGTGCAACCTGAGAGCACCTGAAGTAACCTTTGAGAAATGTCCTCTGCCTCCTCTCACACTCCCATCTTAAGACTCTAACCAGATGGAGACACGAATGCCTTGCATGAATATCATCAGCCAACCTTTTTTCACCCTTCCTTGTGTTGCTTACACTCAGTTCTGGAGAATATGATGGATATTTTGTGACATTTTTGTTGACCTCATAAAGGTATATGGATTTTTTTTTCTTATGGGCCAATAACATTACTTTTTTGGGTATACACAGATATAGTTAGAAAATATGCAGATAAAACAACAATAGCAATGAAATTTAAAATGGTATTATAAAAAAGCAGCAAGCGACAAAGTAATTCTCCATCTCTCTCTGAGAGAGTTAGAAAAAAATATATAAAGGTGTGTTTTCCCATTTTAACTTTCCTTTCTCTATCCTCTGCATGCCTTTTAAAATGCTCTTAAATTCCCCTCCCAAAGTAATATACCAAAATAAAGCTCCCTGTTTTTCACCAACCCTCTTGACTCTCTAGCTGAATGTCAATGTTTTCTTTTGCTTAAATTAAATATTTGGGAGCATTTCTAGATGATTTTCATAGGCAGATGGTCCTTTAAAGTGAAAGAAGTAGCCAGCAGCCATTCACAGGCCCTGCACTCTTCACTGCTGCTGAGCCTGTGCCAATGTTTAATGTACCACTTCACATAAGTTTCAAACCAAACTAACTACGCACTTGGCAATCAGAATGAGGACTCTAGGCACCTGGCAGCTACTACAAGCAAAGAGCCTGAAGCAATTGAGTTAAAATAGAGACGCCTATTCCTTCCCACCTTCTGGAGTCCAAGACTATGAACTTCTTCATACAACCTGAGATTTCATTCGTTGTGTAGAAAATTTGCCTGTGCCAAAGTAAAAAATCTTGGGACTTTTCAAATTATTGGATCAGTGGATGCCTTTATTCCTAACTCTTATCTGGAGAGATTCGTTCCAGCTTTTTATTCTTCCAGATACAGGGTTCAAAAACCATCTTTTCTGCTGAATTTTCAGTGGCTGGTGGGTTAACTCACCTTTATGGTGTTTTATGATATTTATGTAATCTGTGATAATTATTTTAAAGATTTTGGTTATTCTGTGTTATGCTTGTATTCTTTGTTTGTTTGTTTGTTTGTAAATTGTCCCATGACCATTTTTGGTGAAGGCCGGTATAAAAATCTAATAAATAAACTAGAACACACACACACACACACACACGAATGATGTGGAACCTAGAGAGCATATCTACTTTATATCAAGTCATTCCTTTGGCTTATCTATCCCAATATTATCTATGCTGACTGGCAGAAGAAACTAGCAGGGCTTTTCCACAGCCCTCTTGGGCTGAGATCCTCTGGATCAGGGATGGGAACCCTATCTAGATGTTGCTGACCTCCAGCTCCAACCAACCCCACCCAGAATAGCCTATGTGATCAGAGACTGTGGGAATTGCAATTCAACAGCAATCTGTAGGGCCCCATGCTCCCCATCCCTGCTTTGAAAGAAGAAGGCAGGCGTTGAACCCGGAACTTTATTCATTTCACTTGACAATATCCCACTTTCCCTCCAAGGAGCTCAGATGAGATCTCCCCCGCATTTTATCGCCAGCCTGAGTGATCGCGACTGGCCCAAAGTCACACACTGAGCTTCATGGCCAAGCAGAGATTTGAACCTGGGTCTGCCCCGTTCACGTCCATCACTCTTACCACTATGCCACACAGTCTGCCAGTGGTCAATATCAGAGCTAGAAGCCCTTCGAATAAAGGGAACGCCAAGTATTCCCTTCACTTTTGAGTTAAGCACATCCACTCACGCAAAAAGAGAGATGGAAGTCTCAAGGTGCACAGAAAAGCAAAGCGTGTTTTAAAGATATTCTTCATCAGGAACACTTAGATACGCCACACTGTGCCCTCTGCCATGCTTTGTGACCAACTGAAGCTTGCAATTAATTTCTAATTTTGTGTGGGCACCGTCTCATAAGCAATTCCCAATTTTCTGGACTATGTCCAGATAACTGTAATTTAAAAAACAGGAGACTGTTCCAACAATTGAAGTGGTTTTTTAAAAAATGAGTAAAATAGATTATGTCTAATGAAGGTCCCAAACCAGGAACAAAAGGGAAAAGGAAAGAAAGCACCAATACTGGGTTGAAGGGAAGAGTTAAGAGACTTTGTGACAAAACGAATGGCCATTATTGATGCGACAGTATTGTACACTTGCTTGCTGCTGAGGAAGAATATATTCCAAGCACTTTGGACCATTAAATCCTTATTTTTGTTCACCTTTGAAACACCGGCCATATTCACACCATACCATTAAAGCACATTTATACTGTACCACTTTCCCTAAAGAATCCTGGGAACCATCATTTACCTCTCAGAGAATTATGATTTGAAGCATCCATAACAAACTACAATTCCCAGGATTGGGGGGTGGGTGCAGCCATGACATCAAAGTGGTATAAGAGTGCTGTAAATTAACACTACAGATGTGTTTCCTTTTTCATATGATGCTGATCCTCTTTTTCTTTTCTTTTTGAAATAAGCACTCAGTGCCGAACTATTCTCAGACCCGAATCAATAGTTTACATCACATCATCCCAATCTAGCAAAAGTCCCAATGAAACCATTGCAAATGTTAGTCATGATGTGAGTTCAAGTTCCATCCTAACTTTGTCATTCTTGTGGCACTGAAACCCTGTCAACAACAGTGCATGCATCATAGAGAAAGGGCACAGGAGGCACCCAAGAGAGGTAACAGAAAGGAGACGGGACAGAGAAACCATCCCAGTGCGCCCTGATTGGGTGTCAACAGGGAAGGGGCGTGTACATAGGTGCTGCAATTTACTAGCCAAATAACTGATTACAAGTCTCTAGTTGTTTTCAATGGAACTTAGTCATACAACTAACTTCAGGTGAATCGGGGCTTAGGTGCAGTGGATCTTTCAAAATGTTTGCCACCTCTGCTTCCTTATGGACAAAGCCTTTTCATGGTTTGACCTGGGGTGCCAGTTTAGATTTCAACACAGAGAAACAAAGAGGTTCCATGGAAAGAAGATATTCAGTAAGGCTGAATTCATTATTTTTGCATGTTGTGGATTACATGCCAGGGAAGCAGTGTATTATAAGGGCTTGTGCTTACTTTTTGAGGCTTCAGAATAACAAAAATGTCCATTACTTCCTAGGCAAGGGCTGTAGATCAGTGATGGAACACTTGCTTTGTGTTCAGAAGGTCCAGGTTTAATCCCTGGCGTCTCCAGGCTGGGGTGGGAAAGGTCTGGAGGGCAGCTGCCAGTTGGTGGATAACTAGGTGGACCATTGACATGACTCTGTTCAAGTCAGCTTCCTTTTAAAACAGCAACCAAAGCCTTTTTCATTGTTATGCATACTTTGTCTATAAGTTCATTCAACTATAAATAGCTGCCTTAGTCAGTCCTGGCATCAGTTGTTCTGGTGCCAACACCCAGCAGGGCCCACCAACACTGATGCCAACTCTGTGTCAGCCTCAGCACCAGTATTACCAAGCTTCCACTTTAAATTTCCCACAATGCTCCAGAGGGATGCCATGTCAGGTCATTGTGGGTGATTAAAATGGCTGCTGATTTGCAGCCACCTGCCACAGATCAGAGCACTGCCACCACCACCACAGATAAGCTCAGGGTATAGGGGAGGTCAAATCCAGAGGTCAAATCACATATAGTCATAATAAGGTACACGTTTGACAGAAGCAGACAAAAAAGCAAGGGGAAACCCTGATCTCCCTAAATGCTATCTCAGAATTTTGGAGGACAAGTGACAAATGAAATAATGTTTTCAGTCCAAGGGATCCTGAATGTATTTGGAAGTAAATCCAGAGACTTCCTTCCTAGTGAATATTTAGAACTGTGGGCTGAAAAGAAAGAGGACTGGTTGATAACATTTCCTTGAACTAGTTGAACTAGTTATCACTTGCTTGCCAAATGTTTCCCTGACATTCCGATTGCTATTGCCCTTTGAAAACGGCCAATGAAACGTCTTAGGGAATTAGAAAGTTTGCAGACTGAGGCATTCCTTTTGCACCTGAGAACACTCTTATGCAGACTGCCTGCTGGGAGCTCTAATGCAAACTCTCCTTCCTGCTCTCCCCCTCCCTCACTGCTGGAGTACGAAGCATTAGAGAACAACAAACATGTTCAGGTCATCTACTCTGTCTGCCCATGAGACTGTTTCGTCACTTGGATAGGCTTAACCCCAGGGCAGGAGTGGGGAACCTCAGTCCCAGGGGCTGAATGGAACCTTCCAGGTCTCTGTAGCTGTCCCTTGCGACTCCCCTTTGGCCACACTCCCCAGACATCTCCCATCTCCCCAGTACTTTTGCCTGGCTGGAAAGTGTCCTTGAACTGGGATAAAACCTCTTGCTTGTCTGGATACAGAGGCGTGGGGACAAAAGCCTCTGACTTTTGCAGAGATGGAACATAGCCTGTTATGCACAGGTAGCTTTCCCACCTGTTGCTCTGCCCATGTTGGATTCTGGCCACACACACTACTGCCTTGTGGCCCCTAGAAGCTTTCCTGTGAGGGAATGTGGCCCTCAGGCTGAAAAGGTTCTTCAATTCTGCCCAGGGGCATCGCTATTGCAGCAGCATCTCCTCACATTCCCTGCTTCACATTCCCTATCAACAACCAAACATCTTATAATGAAATTGTCTCCATCCAAAACTCAATGACAATGTAGACAATCTGAAACTCCCCATGTTTTGCTCAAGTCGGTTAAGACTATATAATTTCAGCCCCAAACATATATTTCCCACCCCCTTCAAGTTATTTTGTTAGAAAATGTAACAATATTTATAATTTAAATGCATATAAGTATCTGTATGGCAATCATAAACCGTAACACTTAAAAAAAAATTAAATACAGCAGCCTAATCATCACAGTGCCATATCTGAAGATGCTTTACTTTTCCAGTGTTCAGTAAATTAAAACCAAATTCAAACAAACTTATTGCAAAAGCTTGTGTTGTTTATCGCATTTATATCATGAGATAGTTTAGGCATTACAGCGTATTCACATATTTCATTTTCCTATTCAGAAATAGAGAGAATAGACTGCTGTCCCATAGTTAGCATAACCCGTTGATATAATATGCATTTCATTCTAGCAGAGATGGAAACTGAATGTGACCTACACAGGCCAAATTAGTGAAAATGCAAAATGTGATTGAGTGGTTTGAGGTATAGCTGCTTTTGAATCCTCTGTGTACATACTGATGGTATCACTGCATGCTTTGATCTCAGTTGACCACACCGCAAAACATGCCACCACCACCCTCTTGTCCAGGTCATTCATTCAGCTCCTACATCACTTTTAAACAAACATGCTAATCAGGTAGTGCTTGTTGCGCACATCTCACAGCTTGTGCAAACACTATGTTCTTCTGGCATGTGCATATATATGGTAGTTTGTGCCAGGAGAAGAAAAGTAGTTGAAGAGGAGTTTCCTTGGGGAAATGGTCCTCCACTCCTATGCCACAGTCCCAAATTTAATTTGCAACTGCTGTTCGTAAGAGTTTCTAGAAGCAGGGATGTATTCACATGTCTCTGCTACCTATCACATCTTGCTTGAGTCTTAGGACTGCTTTGGATGTAAACCATTAGCATATGGGTTGGAATTCCTCCCTTTGGGTTCTGTGTCTCATCTGAAGGTAGGGGGAAAGACACATTCTCTCCCTGTATTAAGAGAATACACACCTTACTCCTTTAGATAAACCCAGAAATGTGGGGTGGCAAAGCCCAAATCACTTGTAGTTCCTCTCTCGCTACTCCTTTTGAGCTCTTTGCTCTTCATTAAACCCAGGAAAGTAGCAAGCAGCCGCTGCAATTACAGCAGAGAGAGGCTACAATTACTCTCCAGTTGAGTAGGAAATTGTTTCTACCTACTTCTTAGGAACAGGATTGCCACTACCTAGAGATAAATGGCAGAAATTGCCTCCTGGAACAGCAGCCGCAAGATGAAACACCACCAGTGCACAAGCCCTTGGTAAATTAAAAGTAAATTACAGCGACCTATAGGTTGATATTACAAGGGATACAACCCAGTGTCCCCAGTCTAGAGAAGCACAAACTCAGCAGAAAGTTATTGCAGCTGAGAATCCCCCTTCCCAGAAACAGCACTGTAAGTTTATTGGTGCCTATCGTGTGTGTGTGTGTGTGTGTGTGTGTGTGTGTAGACAAAAAGAGTAACTAGACTTTCTCCACCACTTGCATGCACACATACATTTATTACAACACTCTTTGTGCAAACAGAAAGGTGGTCCAGTTGTGGATCTAAATTGTTGAATCAGAGCAAATGAACAAATGAGACACCAAGGGTTCTGACCAGCTGATAATCTCTTCTCTGCCCTTGCAGTCTGGCACCTGCTAGCACAACAGCCAAGTTTCTGACAACTCTCATTTTCTCCAAACCTAAGAATGTGCAGAGCTACAATATCTCTTTTTCTTTTATGTGGGGGAAAAGCAGAAGCACGGGTTCATTTAAAAGTCACACTCAAAACCTACATATCTGCTTATCTGTGGCAGGTAAAAGCTTTGACCTTGGAACTTCCAAGTCTCAAACGGTCACCCTCAAATGAAGAAAGGATCCCTCTTCCTCATTAATATGTGTGTGGATATAAAAATTGTTCCCTCTCTGGGGGTTTTCTCCTGACCTCTCTTCCTCTTCAGTGCTCAAGCTGTAAAAGAATTTGGAAGCAAGGACCTGTTATTTGAAATGCTTAGGTATAAAAACCCAGGGCTTTTTGTTGAGCGGAGTTGACTGATCATAATTTAGGAATACACCCCTCTGCCATCAGGCAAATTTTCAGGGCGCTCACTGGATAGAAAGGACTTTGCTTCTATAAGACTGAACTTTCACACACATGCATCTTGCCATATTTTCCTTCCTAAAACATTGCTGAGCAATTCCTGGGTAAATCTGCATTGTAAAAAGAAGGAAACGGTTGTGTGTGTTTTTTTAAATAAATAAATAAGGTCTCATAATATTTAAGTTCACACCCAGTGGTATTTGTAAGCTCAGGAGTGCAAAATCTCCCTCTTCACCCCCCCCCATGCCCACCTTGAACAAAGAGCACAATTGTGTTGGGAATAAAGCTTACCTTCGCTCTGAAGGAGAGGAGAAAGGGACTGATTCTGGGAGGTGAGTGAGCTGCAGAAAGTGACAGGAGGCAGAAAGCTTCTCTCAAGGAAAGAGCTCTGTGCTCAGCAGAGCCCAGTGAGTCATATATATAAGTGACTTCAGGGCTGAGCTTGGAGTCTGATTGGCTTGCTGGGAAGCGAATGTTAGCAGGTAGCAAAGCCCATGAGATAGGAAAAGGAGATAAGCAGCTTTTTTGTGCGTATGTTATGTGTATATGCCTCCCCCTCCCCACACTCCCCTCTTTAGAATCAGGTTTGTTTGATCCCTTTGACATAGCTGGCCACTCCTAGACAATACATCACATTCAGTGTCCAGCAGGGACCCCTCCACTCCCAATGTTTGGACTTTTGGAGGGTTGCTTTTGTTGACCTGTTCTATGGTTTCATGATGGACCGGACAGTGTCTCCAGCCTGCCTTTGTGTCTTCTTGATGGCTTCTCCACATCAGCAAAGGACAATGAGACTCATTGTACCAGCTCTTGAACTCCCACAAGTTGGGCTTTGAAGATGGGATGTTCAGGGGAGAGCACTTCCTTTCTTACTTCCAGGTTTAAAAAAGGATGAGATGAAAGAGATGGAAAGAAAACAAAGAGAAGACCTCCTCAAAAGTGGCAATTAATTCTACATCCTCTGCATTGAGCTATGAAAAAGAGATGGAGGTAGTCAATTTTTACTGTGATGCACATACACAGATCACTCGAGGCCATCTCTTCTAATGAGCTCACTTGAGCATCAAAATAAAGGCAACTTACATCTTTTAAATATGCAGTTTCTTCTTTGTCTGTTTTGGTCCTTGCGTATGGCCGAAGTGAGAAGTGTTAAGGAATAAGAACTGTCATTTTGAAAAATCTTGCCGAGTGTCCACTCAAGCTTCTGCTTCTTATGGAGAAAACCTCTCTGCCTTGTATAGTGATCACTTTACGGCACCATAATGTTGATGGGCCAAATATGTGTCCAATGACAAGTCATGCTTTTATAAAGCTTATTAAAACATTTTGCAATAGATGGTGATAGGCAAGCCACCCAGGACCCTCCAGGCTGGTGTTTTATTGCGAGGGAATCTGCAACGAGTTTTTGCCACAATAACAGTGAATTTGTGGTGGATTTATTCTGCTTTAGTTCGTGCCACAATGTTTGCCCAATGCTACCACATTATTGCTGTCTGGAGAAGTTGTGGCGCAACAAAATTGGAACAAAAACAAACGAGAACATTTGTGGTATAGAAATTTTCAGGATTAGCAGGATTTTACAGGATATGCACTGATTGGAAATGAAACAGTGTGGCAGCCCCAAAATCCTTGCAGGTGCAAACAGTACTAAAAGCAGGATTGTGGATGACTCCTCTGATAGTATCGTGAGCCAAAAAAAAAAAAAATCATTATAAATGTACAATAAAAAGAACATTGGGAGGAACCCTCCATTTTTGTTTTTGTTTTCCTCTAATTTGAGACCAGTCCACCATAGTTCTTTTCAGGCCATTTGGAAGGGTAATGCTTTTAAATTTTGACTTTTGGAGATGGCCCTTAGGCACACACAAAAAGCATAAGCCATCAGTCACCCTTGGTGTAACACATTCTAATGATCATTCAGAAATTCACAGCATTCCTATAGCCCTTTGGAAGGAACCAGGGCATTCCAATAGCCGTTCCCATTCTTCGTTTTAATCACTCTAAAGACATGTTTTTCTTCATGCAAATGTCAGGGTTTTCATTGGAAGGTGGCCTGTGCCTTTCGCACCCAACCCCGAATCTGCCAACAGTTGTGACTGTGGAGGAACTGAGCACAAGGACTCAGTTGGGGCCAAACAGGGGGGAGAGAAGGTGCCTTTTTTCTTTTAAATTCAGCAAAGGCAAGCAGACAGCTGAATTGAACTGCCTCGGCTGGCTCAGGTTCGCTGTTGCTTGCTGCCAATTGAAACGCCAAAAAAAAAACCCAATAGGAAGAGAAACAATGTCCCTTCCATTTCCTTTCCAAAGGACATTGCACAGAAAAAAGAAATGGCTGCCCCAACGTTATTTCTCTTCCTAGGAGCTTCTCACAGAATCATAGAATCATAGAGTTGGAAGAGACCACAAGGGCCATCGAGTCCAACCCCCTGCCAAGCAGGAAACACCATCAGAGCACTCCTGACATATGGTTGTCAAGCCTCTGCTTAAAGACCTCCAAAGAAGGAGACTCCACCACACTCCTTGGCAGCAAATTCCACTGTCAAACAGCTCTTACTGTCAGGAAGTTCTTCCTAATGTTTAGGTGGAATCTTCTTTCTTGTAGTTTGGATCCATTGCTCCGTGTCCACTTCTCTGGAGCAGCAGAAAACAACCTTTCTCCCTCCTCTATGTGACATCCTTTTATATATTTGAACATGGCTATCATATCACCCCTTAACCTCCTCTTCTCCAGGCTAAACATGCCCAGCTCCCTTAGCCGTTCCTCATAAGGCATCATTTCCAGGCCTTTGACCATTTTGGTTGCCCTCCTCTGGACACATTCCAGTTTGTCAGTGTCCTTCTTGAACTGTGGTGCCCAGAACTGGACACAGTACTCCAGGTGAGGTCTGACCAGAGCAGAATACAGTGGCACTATTACTTCCCTTGATCTAGATGCTATATTCCTATTGATGAGGCCCAGAATTGCATTGGCTTTTTAGCTGCCGCGTCACACTGTTGGCTCATGTCAAGTTTGTGGTCAACCAAGACTCCTAGATCCTTTTCACATGTACTGCTCTCAAGCCAGGTGTCACCCATCTTGTATTTGTGCCTCTCAATTTTTTTGCCCAAGTGCAATACTTTACATTTCTCCCTGTTAAAATTCATCTTGTTTGTTTTGGTCCAGTTCTCTAATCTGTCAAGGTCGTTTTGAAGTGTGATCCTGTCCTCTGGGGTGTTAGCCACCCCTCCCAGTTTGGTGTCATCTGCAAATTTGATCAGGATGCCCTTGAGTCCATCATCCAAGTCGTTGATAAAGATGTTGAATAAGACCGGGCCCAAGACAGAACCCTGTGGCACCCCACTAGTCACTCTTCTCCAGGATGAAGAGGAACCATTGATGAGCACCCTTTGGGTTCGGTCAGTCAGCCAGTTACAAATCCACTGAGTGGTAGCATAGTCAAGACCGCATTTTACCAGCTTCTTTACAAGAATATCATGGGGCACCTTGTCAAATGCCTTGCTGAAATCAAGGTAGGCTACATCCACTGCGTTCCCTTCATCTACCAGGCTTGTAATTCTGTCAAAAACGAGATCAGGTTAATCTGACATGACTTATTTTTCAGAAATCCATGCTGACTATTGGTGATCACAGCATTCCTTTCTAGGTGCTCACAGACTGTTTGCTTAATGATCTGCTCCAGAATCTTCCCTGGTATTGATGTCAGACTGACTGGGCGGTAATTATTTGGGTCCTCTCTTTTCCCCTTTTTGAAAATAGGGACAACATTTGCCCTCCTCCAGTCTGCCGGGACTTCACCTGTTCTCCAGGAATTCTCAAAGATGACTGCCAGTGGTTCTGAGATCACCTCTGCCAGTTCTTTTAATACTCTTGGATGCAGTTCATCTGGCCCTGGAGACTTGAATACATCTAAACTAGCCAAGTATTCTTGTACTATCTCCTTAGTTATTCTGGGCTGTGTTTCCTCTGCTGAATTGTTTAAAGTCTGAAGTTTAATTTAATGCATGTGACACAGCAGCAAGCCAGCTTTTGAATTAAACAAGTAAAAGATTAGGAGAGTGGGGAGAAGCAAGTACTCTAATTAATTTCTGCACAGGAGACTCAAGAGAGTATGCTCTCAGGGTCAAAACTGATTACCTTCAACATGCATGTAAATATATGAAGGTGGGTGCTCATTTTTGCAACAGCCTCTATCCAAATTCTCACATTATCCTATGCTGCTTTCTTCATGCCATTTGCTCTCAATCATTGTGATCTTACTGAAGTGTTTTCTGTCTGCTTTCCTCATAGACAGATCATTCAGCACAACCTCTTCCCATAGACTATTAATCTGCCAAAGGCCTGGTTGAAGAGGAACACTTTCGCCTGGCACCTAAAAATATATAATGAAGGCACCAGGCGAACCTCCCTGGAGAGAGCACTCCACAAATGGGGTGCCACTGCAGAAAAAGCCCCTTCTCGTGTTGCCACCCTCCAGACCTCTCATGGAGTAGGCCTGCAAAGAAGGGCCTCAGAGGATGATCTCAGGGTCCGGGACAATTCATATGAAGAGAAATGGTCCTTGGGGTATTGCAGTCGTGAGCCACCGAATTCTGCACCAGCTGAAGCTTCCAAACTGTCTTCAGAGGCAGCCTTACATACAAATAGTCCTTTGAAGTTCCACTTCGAGCGGAGGTGGGGAAACTCTCTGGATGTTGTTGGATTCCCCCCAGCCTGCATAGGCAACAGTTAAGAAGGGTGGAAGTTATAGTCCAACAACAGCTGGACTATATTTCCCATCCATGAGCCAGACTTATGTTTCTGACAGAATCAGCTGCCTAAGGACAGGTGAGAAATGCAACTCAATTTACATTTTAAGGAAAACTTACCCAGTTTCTGTAACAATGTGTGAAGCATAGCCATCCTTCAGAATTCCCACTTACCTGGATTTTGCAATGGAGCTCTCCAGCCAAGTAAGGCGCACAAATTGTATATATTTAAGTGTGCATATAAATGCATATAAAAGTGAAAATAATATTAAAATGCATTATATTTAGGTAAACAGCCTTGTAAAAAGGTGTACATTATGTGAAACGGTGTATAAAAATGTGTATAGTAGCAGAAATTTCCACAAAAATGCTGTAGAATTTTCCTGAGAACTTTTTTTAAAAAAAGAAAATCACAAGCTGACATGGAAATATATATCTTTTTTACCTCTAAAGTTGCTACGACCAAGGTAGCATTAGCTATAGGTACCAGGGGGAGCCTGGCAGTATGCAGGAGAATATTCTTCATGATTTTGATACACAACCATTGTGAAGCAGCAGAGGAGGTGGAAGTCAGGTGAGGAATAAAGGAGGCAGTGAGAGTAGAAATATTGGGGTGGAGGTTACAATCTAAAAATAGAAGGTTGAGGAAGGAAGAAGCAGCCGTTGACAAGTTCCCAGGATTTCACTTTCTGGCCTTGGGAAAACAATTT